TCTGGCGCTTGTTTAAACATTGGTCGAATTTTTGTACTATAATTTTGTATTTTTGTAATATAATGAGTTAATTTACTTATACTTTAAACAGTAAATAATATTTGGATTATACTTTAATCACAAAAAAATTATTATTAAATTAATAATTAATTAATTAATTAATTACTAATTTTCGACATATTTTGAAAATAATTGTTTACCTACGACCACTACTGTGAATACTACTGTGAATACTAATACTAAAAACACACCGTCTACGATCAATGTAAGATTCCTATTACGTACGGTAAAAAAATCGTACAGCATTCCTAGCAACCGCCTAGCAACGGTCAATACAATACTGTTTGTATTGACCGTTGCTAGGCGGTCGCTAGGAAAACTGTACGATTTTTTTACCAAGCTGTGCGATTTTTTTACCGTACGACGTAATAACAAATATTGTACGGATCATACCTTAGCTTCTATTATATGATTTGTGCCTTAGCTTCTGCAAATATGAGGTAATTCTTTTAATAAGGTAGGAACATTAACTGTTTGTTTAACATCTATTACCATTTCATTCTGTCTTCCCTTAATACCCAAATGAAACTGAAACTAATAATAAATATATACGTTATTTTACAGACCACTTATACTGACAAAGGACCGAAGGTAAGACCTTTATATTCAACCAGGACTTCAGGTTAACTTACATTTATTGCTTTGTTACAGCCAGAAAACGGGAAATTTTTATACTTTGACCATTTGACTTTCTACGTGGGTAACGCCAAACAGGTGGGTAATTTTTTATCTTCCTTGACAGTTTTATTGCTTCTATCAGTATCAAAATCATTGTAAATTTTTGAAGTTTATTCTTTTCGTCATAATAAAAAATAAAATAAACTACAAAATAATATTTCCATTGTTTTTAAATAATTCATAAACAACTTAGTAGTGATAATTCGTAATACAGCTATCGACAATAAAAGCTTTTTAAACGTTTTAGATTGCATACCCTCTTCCATCTACAGCTACAAAAAATTAAAATTTGCTCGGACAAAAAAATTAAATAGTACTTTATGACTTTACTTTACTTTATTTTTTTTGTAGGCCGCTTCATATTATGTAACCCGCCTAGGATTCCAGCCTGTTGCATACAAAGGGTTGGAAACCGGAAGCAGGAAGTACGCTTATCATGTAGTCAGACAAAATCAGGTATGTACTTGGAGGACATAGCTTGTTTTTATTTTTTCATTACTTACATTAAAAAAAAAACACATGCAAAAGGGGTTTGCTTTAAAAAATACCTAATCCTCAAAATACGGAAATATATAATAAAGAAATTATTGGACAAAAGATTCATTATTATTCTTAATTTCTAATAAATCTCTTCTGGAAGGACACTTTTTTAATAGGTATATGGAAAGAGCACAAATTATTCTTATTTTTAAATCGAGAGATGGACATTCTATTGAAAAATATCATCCAGTGTTAGAATTATGTATTGTAGCCAAGCCTTTCGAATCTGCCCATGATTTTTCATATTATGATGTTTTATACTGGGTGTTTCAAAAAGGTATTACCACACTTGAGGGAGTTTTAGAAGACAGCGCGGTAGAACACTTTTGACTTATCAGTCGAACAGCGCGAAGTCTCGATTTAACCCGTTGAATTTTTTTCTCAAGTCCTTGGCCTATGAAACCCCTGTAGCCACCGAAGACGAACTGTTAGGTAGAGCGATGGCAGCTTGCCTTTTCGTGCAGCAACATCCGCAGTCCGCACATGTTATAACGGGCATATGATTCCAGGATACGCCGGACAAATTTATGTAACCAGTAACAATGTTAGGGGTCGCTGTTTTGAATAATTAGGTATTATAAATTTATTTGTCTTTTGGTGTCAACGAGATAACATTACGTTTTTGAACAAAAATTGCTCCAGAGTAAAAACGGTTCATTTCCGATTCTGGTTTATACAGGGTGATTCAGATATTATCAAAAAAAAATCTGGATGTACAAGAGACTCTTACAAATACAATTTTGTAATGAAAAAATCAAAAAGGGCAGTTCGAAAATGATTTTAAAATACACTTCTGCACGGCACTGGAAACTGGTCCATTGTAAAACCTGACCTCGCAGAATGCAACCGGCATGGCGGTATGATAAAAACGGACAAAAACTTTCGCAAGGAAAGAAATAAATAGAACTTTGTAGCACCTATTTTATATCGGCAAATTCAACTGCTTTTGCCTTTATTAATTAATAAAATTAATTTGCGTTTTTAAATAATAAACATTTGACATACCCGATGTTACACCAATAATAATCGTTCAAAATCCACCAACGTGTAAACACATTGGGATCCGTCTTACTAAGTTTATACGAACTAAGACAAATGTTGTTTTGCTTCAACATAACACAAATGGTTCACCATAATACAAATGTTGTCTTGCTTCACAATAAATTAAAACGATATCCATCAATTTCGAATTGCTATACACGCAAACCATTTTTGACACTAACTACGAAAAAACTATTATCAACACCACAGATAACAGGTAAACACTACCGCAACGACGACTGCAAAATGGATTTCAGTATTCGGAGTTGTTGAGGCCACGTGGCTCGCCACGCGTGTTGCGAATGACCCTAGAGACTACAGTTGTCCAGCTATGTAGTGGTTGAATGTACTATAACTTCAATAATTTTTTTCTCGAAGACTATAAGGATTTTACAAAATTTTTTTTACGATAGTGACTCCATTTCTCATGCCGCATCTATTCCCAAATTTTTTTGGATAAGTTGTGAATCACCCTGTATACAAAAATTTTCTACCGTAATGTCCTCTATAACCCCCTGAAGTTTGGCTACACTTTTTTAAACACTCTATATCAAAAAAATGAGTACAGTCCGTACAATATTTATTGAGATAGAATTCCACGAAAAGCCAATAAAGTTCTGTTATCGGAACTACTTTAACAATTTACCGCGGAAGAGGCGGATTTAAAACTGTCCCCCAATATCTTTCTACTTCGTGTGTCGAATGCGGTTAATTCCAAGAAAATGATGCAGGGATCTTCTTGGAATTTCATCTCAACAAATATCGTACGGACTATACTTAACTTTATGTGATGAGAACTTAGTAATATTTGATTTGGCTTTGACACATTTTGGGTTTATTTCCATATTTTCCCTTGTAGATCGTATTCGTCTTCGTGTCTTCATATGAATCTAATGATAAGGAACATGGCGATCATCTTATGAAGCACGGGGATGGTGTTAAGGATATCGCGTTTGCAGTGGAAAATCTTGACGCTATAATTCTGGTAAGTTTTAGTTTTTCAGTTGGCTGAATTATATCAGCAGCCTTTTCTTCAAATACTACTATGTAAAACACATTTTCAGAGGGCTAAAGCAAAAGGTGCCACAATCGTGCGTGATATTTGGGAGGAGTCTGATTTCAGCGGAATTGTGCGATTTGCAACTATTCAGACAGTAAGTTTCAATTGCTACTGTAACTCTAAATAAGTAAATATATTTCTTAAGACATTATTTATTTAATGCGCAAAGTATGTTAAAAAAACTTATGAAATAATAAAAGCAGACAGCGCTTGAAAAATTTTAAATAACTACAAAGTATTGTTGTTATTTCTTTCATTATTTTGAAATAATTTCAAGTCTCATACCAAAACGTTTAATTTTCCATGTTCCTTTTTTGTTTCTAATAATTTTTCATTGGCGGGAACATCTAAACATCTTTTTAAAGCGACATTTTTACACCATAAAATATATCATTTAATGTGAATACTTTCTAAAAATATTATTTTTTACAGTATGGAGACACTACTCATACTTTTGTGGACAGAAGTTTATACAGAGGAGCCTTTTTGCCTGGATTTGCACCCTGTCAAGAAGATATTTTAGGAAAACAATTGTGAGAACCCGAACCGTCTTCTTTTATTAGACATATTTCGATAGACCTTACACCATGTTTGATTTATGCACTATTTGGAAAAATTTGATCAGTTTTTGGTTAATTTTTTAGACGCAATGTCATAAGGCCTTGTTTAGGCCTAAATTAGTGAAAAAATTAGAAGTTTGAATTTTTGAGAATGCCTTTTGGTTTGGAAAATGCACCTGCAGCTTTTCAAAGTATGATTAATGAACTTTTAAAAGATTTAATAAACGAAACATGCGTTGTCTGTACGAATAATATTATATTTTTATAGGTAAACAAATTATTTCGAAAATAGGATTAAAGGCACATTTAGAAGAAAAAAAACGAGTTTATGAAACGACAAGTTGAATTTATAGGTCTTGCCACGACAACAGAAGGAATTGGACCCAATCCAAAAAAAAGGCGCTATTACTAATTTTCCAATTCCAAAGGCATACCTAAAGGAACAAACAAAATGTGTACAGGGTGATTCAGAACTTATCCAAAAAAAATTTTTTGATTGTACAGGGCTCTTACAAATAAAATTTTGTTTGAAAATGATACCCTTCTGCACGACACTGGAAACTGGTCCACTATAAAACCTGACCTTGCGCAAGGCAAAGCATACACTCGACGACCGGCACGGCGGCAAAGTGTAATAAAAAATGAAGGGACAAAATATGTAAATAATTTTTTTCCCAAGAAATACATAAAAACGAAATTTTATAATACCTATTTTATATCAGCAAATTCAACTGATTTTGAAGTTATTGTTATTATTAATTAATAAAATTGTAGTTTTAATTAATAGAATAATTTGCCATAACTGATGTTACAACTGTTCGAAATTTTGTCCACCGATGTGTAAACACATTTGAGCCCGTCTTACCCAGTTTCTACGAACTAACACAAATGTTGTTTTGCTTCGCTATAACACAAAAGCTGTCTTACTTCACCATAAATTAAAACTATATCCATCAACTCGAGATATAAACACGTAAACCATTTTTGACAGTTAAAAAACTAATGTTAACACTATCGCAAAAACGTTATCACTAAAATCAGATTTCAGTATTCCGAATCGCCTGGGGCCACGCTGGGCCTGACGCTACAGTAGCCCAGCGATGTAGGGGTTGAAAATACTACAACTTCAATAATTTTTCTCTGAGAAACTAGATTTAAATTTTTTTTTACGATATTAAATTCATTTTTCATGACGTATCTATTCCCATTTTTTTTTTGATAGGTTGGTATAAACTAATTTAAGTTAAAATATAATAAATACATAGAAGCAAATTTTTTGATTGGGAATAATCAAAAGATAAGCAGGTTTAATTTTTAGGATACTTTGAGTTTATAAGACTAAATTTTTGTAAATGCATCAAAATATTTTGAATTACGTATTTTTTTACCAACATTACTGTTAACTATATTATTGTTATTATTATTAGTTACATTCAGAAAAATTAAAAAACTTAATCAAATAGAAATATTATACTTTATATGAAAGACTCCTTGGAATCATGTTGCATAAAATGGCGAATGCGCCGCGAATAATATAAAAAAATTGTTTTTTAGGGCTCCAGCAAAGTTGGACTTCATCGACCATGTGGTGGGTAACCAGCCAGATGGTCAGATGGAATCAGTTGCTAAATGGTATGAAAACATCCTACAGTTCCACAGGTTCTGGTCAGTCGATGACAAACAAGTTCATACAGAGTACTCAGCGCTCAGGTCTATTGTGATGAGCAACTGGGAAGAAAATGTGAAGGTAAAATATTGTAAGAGTACCTATATACCTACTTGTGGGTGCTACATCACATTTTTCAAATAAAGGCATTTTTCTGACTAATTATGACGTGTCATAAGGTTTGCTTTACTGTTTACGCCGAAATATCTCAAATTATTCACTTTTACAAAGAGTGCTTTGAAAACGAAACGTCCAACTATTGCTTCAAATGTGGTGTGAATGTGGTGTGATGTGCCTATGCACGTATGGGGACGTTACTAAAGAACAAGACACGAAATCAAGGCATAGATATACAACTTTCTGTCATTTTTCTAATAATTACCACATTTCCAAAGTTGTTGCAGCTCAAACATGTTCACATCGTTCTTGTATAAAACAGGTAACGGCTTCTTCAAACTTGACATAATATCTAAGGTTATGTTCACATTTAGACTACATACTTAAACTGACTTTAAACGCGAATCATACCATATGTAAATGTGGAAATTACATTTTAATTTCTATCACGATCAACTTTTTAAAATATACAGCTACCTACTATTTGTGTTAAAACGAAAGTCAAGTTACAGTTCTCTGCTGATGTCATGCGCAGACTGAACGAAATTGAGTCGACTTTCGAGCACAGCACACATTATTATATTCACACCAAGTACTTCAGGCAAATCAACGATTTTTTTTGACAATGTGAAAGTTTAGATAAAGGAAAATGCAATTTTCATATGAAGAACAAGATAAGCATCAAATTTAAACATTCATTGAAGAATATCTTCTTTGTGTCACGTGAAAATTGTTTTTTTTTTAATAAAATATTATTGTCAATGAAAATTTAATTGAAATATCAAAATTTCGTTTAAAATTAGTGGTTGGATGTTAGGATGTTTGTCATTTTCAAAGAATGCTTTAGGAAATAGATGATTTGGTATTTTTACAAAATCAAAAAAATAAACCGTAGGAGGGTTGCTTTCGATGTACAGCAAGAATAAAACGCTCTCTCAACGGTAATAATAGAGTATTTTATTGAAAACTAAGTTACATAGAAAAATACGTATTGACGGGGTGAGTGTTCGTTGGAGAGTCCCTGTGGTGGAGTCGGTCGTAAGTATATGAGTAAGCATCTGGTCGCCGGCGCCAGTCTGCCGTAGACCCTTCCTGGAACGCTGGTACGTCCGGCGGCGTCCTGCTGGCGCTCTTGACGTAATGCTTAAAAATGGGTCACTTGCGAACGTGTGTACCCACACGTATATGATGCATTCTTTCAATTTTTGATTAAAATAAAAAAAAAACAAAAATTTTCAAAATTCGATTTTTAGTAAGTAGATTTTTGTATAATTTACATTAATCATTCTAATGTAAAAAAAGGATAAAATATCGACGATTCTTTTTTTGAGGAACTCCTTGCTAATTAATATATTACTATAGGAATTATACTATCTTGTACATGTATTAGATTACAGTTTATTAAATTGCAGCTGCCTATAAATGAGCCAGCCCCAGGTAAAAAGAAGAGTCAAATCGAAGAATATGTGGAATATTATGGTGGTGCAGGGGTACAACATATAGCTTTAAATACTAAAGACATCATTACTGCAGTAAGTTGCCTTTTCAGACTAAAAAATCATCATCATTCCATTAATATTTTCCTTGATCTGCTTTAATGTGCTGTAAAATGGATTGGCTTGATAGAAGATAAACTTATCATTAACACCTGAAAATAAACAACGCAGTGTCTGTCGGTTCTCGAATAAATAATTTTGACACTTGTGTTTGGTTTTGGTAAACTGGGTATATCTAGAGATTCTCAAATTTATTTAACTTATTGTACATACCTTTTACAACAGAAATATTCTCAAATAACTCTACTGTAACTTTGAACTACCCATGACACATTTATAGTTCCACAATTTGACACCAGAGTGCTGCAATCTTAATTCCAGTGAAGTTCCTAGATGTCAATCTAGGGACTTTAGTTTTCAGATGCTTACCATTGTATAACCTATATCCATAACCTATTTTTTTTTAATTAGATACAGATGTTTTTCAAAATTACCAAGTATTTTATCTTTTAAGGTGAAAAATTTGAAAGCAAGAGGAATTGAATTCCTACAAGTCCCCGACAGTTACTACGACATCCTCAGAGAAAAACTGGAACATAGCAATGTGAAGATAGTGGAAGAAATGAACATACTTCAGGAATTGAAGATATTGATTGATTACGACGAAAACGGATACTTGCTACAAATATTCACTAAAAATATGCAGGATAGACCCACTTTGTTTATCGAGGTGATCCAGAGAAGGAATCACAATGTAAGTTTAAGAACTGCTAAAGTATTCTTAAAAAATTCACACGCTACGCAATTTTTCTTTCAGGGTTTTGGTGCAGGAAACTTTAAGGCTCTTTTCGAAGCCATCGAAATCGAGCAGGCAAGAAGGGGAAACTTGTAACTCAAACACTTACACGAAGAAATATATAGTTTATTATAGTTTTAAAGTAAATATAAGATGCTGAGTTAAGAAATAGACTTATAAACTAGGTACTTTTAAGCATACTCGTTAAGTTCAATGATTGTACGTAAGATCTTTCATGTAATATTATAAAAATGAGGGTTAGGTATAAATATCACATTACTCAGACTCTTGGTTTTTATCTTAATTTTCTGGAGGTATACTCAGATCCCAAAAACCTAAAGAAAATAATGATAACGTACAAATAAACAAAAGAAAAATTTGTTTTCAAAAAGAAAAAAGTAACAGCAAACATAACAAAAACAATAAAAACAAAGAGAAAATCAGTTTTTAAAATTAGTAAAATTGAACGGTTACAGGGCGTAAATATGCAATACACAGTGTTTTAGAAAACGGTGGTCATGTAATAACAGATTCCTAAGTTGAAAACAATTGAATCAATAACTTCACATTAAAAAAAACTTTTCGTTTCTGATTGCTAGTATTTTTATAATTAATTTTGTAGCAATGTTTATGAAGCAAATGATCTAAACAGTGAAAGAAAAAATTACAAATACAAGGTGTTTCTGAAATAAAGCACGCGTTCCACGAAAATGAGCATCTTTTATTAAGCAACTGATGGTTCAAATGCTTTTGTTTTCAAGAAAATTAATTAAGAAAATTAACCATAAACGTAAGCCGACCCTGTGCATCTAGTGCACGTGCGTTGTGTTGCAGTATTAACTAGCAGGGGTATAAAATGTTTTGCGATGAAGTACCATCAGATATGGTGTTAATGTACGGATAATGTCAGTAGAATTTAAATGAATCTTGTCGTTTTGCATATTTACACATATGAGGACTAATTTTGACCGTCGTTTGGAAGCATGTTTATTAGCACATGGAAACAGCTATGAACAATTTTTATAGAGCATATCGTCTATTGGTAAGTAATTCGTTTAGTTTTTGTGTTACTTTCAAACGAGATTTGAACGAATTTCAGCCTTCTTGCTAGTAAAGTTTTAGCAAGCATTGTAGAAAATTATAAAGAAAAGTTGTAGCAAGATTATCGACAAGTTTTCAACAAACTCACAAAATTAAGTTTTCCTTGATAAGATGTAAAAGCCTCGTAAATCCTTTTACAACTTACAAAGGTTTTATTTGTAAATTGTTAACAATGTTATAGCAATTTCATTTTACTTGGTAGGTTCTACAAATTAAAACTTTAATTTTTTACTTGAAATTTAATCATTTGAATCAACAGAAATTCCTATTTTCCTTAAAAAATCCATAGATTCCTAGATAATAATAAAAATTCATCTTAAAAGTAAAATTTTAACACCTTGTAAATTTTAAATAATTACATTGACATAAATTCAATTATTTTTATCTAAGGAACCTGTAATTGCTGTATGACCATTGTTTTCTGAACACCCTGTACAGTAAATTACATTAGTTTTTTGGAAAAAATAATTATGAAATGAGAATAATTAATAATTTTGCAACACATAATATAGAAATGATTTATTATGTTGTTTTTTAAATAAGAAATTAATAAAGATAATCAGCTATTTCAAATAATCAAATATCATGTTTCACATATTTTATTCCGGCACAGTACATTGGAAAAATATACCTGAACAAAACTTTAACGAACAGAGTTTCTTTTTTGAACAAAGATCCGCCTTACGATCTTCCTATGCTTTTGAACTTGCTGCGATCTACAGAATAATATAGTTAAACACCCACCTGGAATTGTCTCTTCTGGAGGACGATATTTGTACCTATGCCTCGAACATTCATCCATCTTCTTCTGCATTTCTTCAGGAGGCAGCTTCATTTGACTATAGAACTGTGAGAAAAATAACCAGAATGCACAGAATTGCATAAATAATATTGCAAATAATAATTGCATGATTGAATAAATTGGCCGATTTGGTGATATTTTGGTAGTATTTAGAGCTTTTAATAATTATTGTACTGTAGTACCAACTTTAGTTACATTCTGCAATTTTTTTTACTTTAAATATTAAAAGAAAACAACCACTCTAGAATTTTGAAACAATCGATATTTGGATAAATGGTTTAAACAATGCTTTATTATGTGAAGATTGGAGGTATAGATATAACGAATTTCTTGTGCTGAATGGCAACAAAAACTTTAAACACGTTTTTCGAGAACCAACCTTTTTTTTAACTGGCCGGAAGCTTAACACAAAAAGTTTTCAACGAATCGACTTGAAATTTTGTACAGAGCTTCACAATAATATAACTCAGGGATCATCGAAGGGGTTTTTCAATTGAATAACATTTTCATGGTTATTAACAATTTAATGCAAGATTTTTCAATTTTTTTTGGATACTTTTTTTAATGTTCACTAAATCAACAATTATTAATTAATATTTTTTAATTTCCCTACGATGTTCACTAGCTTTTAGTATATAATATCGGAATATGTTTGTTTTTTTTTGTTCCAAGACCATCCGTTACTAAAAAAATCTCTTTGGCCCTTTGCCCTTTGAAAAAAGTGCCGTTGCTTGCCCACCACCTTCAGCCGCTATTTTGAATCCAAATCGTTTGAGGAAATTCACAGTACTACTTGAAAATATGTACAATAAAGCCATGTTGTTCCTGACACTATATCTTGTATCGACTTTTCCTTGAAAATTCCCGAAAATCACTTTTTTGCAACATCTAGAATAGTGGTACCCCTTAATATGGCATAGGTTATAAGAGTTTGTGGTTTGCTATCGTGACTGATTTATATTCTAACAGTTGGTAGCCTTTAACTTGACCAATAACTGGGCCAATTTATTGCAACATGTAAAAAGATGCTATAAATACAGTGAACTATGAACAATTTATCGGGCAAAAAATTGGCAAAAATAAAACAGGTTCAAGCCTTACTACTTACGTCTTTACATTGATGGCAAGACCAACCGTGTAACTGTTTCCTGGCATTTCCTCTTACCACAGGTTCCGGTTCTACAGGAATCACTTTAGGCTTCCTAAATGAATATGAATACTTCTTTATATGTTCAAAAATAAACCGTGTCAGATAAATACTCGAACACAGAAAAACGGCAGATCCCTTATGTTGAAATATTGCGATTTAACCAAACTTCTCTATACTTAAAATTTGATAGTAACACGACGCCAGTTTTATTTCTTATATTTTTTCCAATAATCGAGATACCGGCATGACATTAGAGATTCTAAGTTGTTTTTTGAGACACATTCAAATTCATTCATAGTTTTGGTTTTGGTCAATAATAGAGGGCGACACCTACAGCTCCTCACGCATCTTTTAAATTGGGACAAAGTGTGTCGATTTGACTTTGGAACAATTAATTCTCTTACATTTTTCGTAACTGTTTTCGAGATAATTATTTATTGGGTCCATTTGAACTACTACCTAATTTAAACAGCAAATTGTACTTTACATTTTTGCAAGCTGAGTTACCTGATAAAAATTTTTCCTAAAAAATCTTATAAAATGAAGTTAATGTTCTTCCATGCTAGAAATCTAGGTTTGTAAAAAATATCTAACTCCACAGACAAGACTCCTAACCCTGGGGTTCCGCTATTTTTATAAGTACACACATGTAAGTTACTATAAGAGCTTTATCTATTTATGCAAGTGCAAGTAGGTCGGATTATAACTTATAAGCTGGCGCAGCATTCTTCGCGTTGGTTACGTTGCCTTTACCTTGACTTTTGGTTAGAGATTTATAAGGAATATCCTGAAATTGCTGACCAGGCAATAAATATATGCCTTTTGCAACTACGTACCTGTGTGAAAAATCATTTTCCACGTACGTAGAGACAAAAACAAAGTATTGCAATGCGCTTAATGCAGAATTTGAAATGCTTACGACAATAGCACCTAATTTTAACATATGATGTAAAAATATTCAAGCACATCCCAGTCTTTGATTATATTTACTTTTTTTTTAATTACTCAATAAATCTTTACTTTAAACTTTAGTGTTTAATTTTTACTTAGTGGAATATTTATTTTGTTAATAGTAGTATTTATAAATATATTAAATAATCAGTAAAAAATGTATTCAAAAATTTTTATTAGGTGTGGGGGTACCTCAAAAAAAAAAATCGAAGTGTTGGCAGGGTTCCGCAAGTCGTAAAAGTTTGAAGGCCGCTGGTATAGAAATTGCTGCGGAGTTACCACGATATTAATAGATACAATTTTAAATTAGAAGAACGTTTGTTAAACGAGTACTCAAGTAATGAGGTGAATGGAAATTATTTCCAATGTTTATTATGTAAAAGGTGTATTTATTTATTAACTGCTTCGGTAACTATTGTGATTAAAATAAAATATGAATATGAGTAAAAATATTTATGTCCGATGAAACGAAAGAAATTAAAATACACCTCAGTTTTTTTGTATGTATTATTTCTAATTATCTGTAATAAATCCTTACCTATTGTTTGGTAGTTTGCAAGGTAAAGCACAAATATGAAATGTTCTGTTATTTTTAACTAGCACACTGAACAATTTAAATGTAATTATCTTAAAAATGGTTACTCCTAGCTACTGCAATAAGGTATAACTTTTTTACATAAAAGTATTAGGCGATTTAAGATATTCGTGTTGTGCCGCAAGATTCGTCCTCTATTAGTGACATCAAAACAACAAATATATATTTTTTGACTATAAGGTGTACCATTAATTAGCAGATGCTTTAGGTTTTTTTTTGCAACTGAATATTGGTGAATATCTGACTTGTAGTTACTATTTATATCTCTTTTTATTTAGTTGTTTGGTAGTTTAAACCTCTTCAGTCTTCACTCACTCATACTACACATACCACAACATACGATTTCACTCGGGAAAAAAAGCCTTTTGTATACCCATTTGTAATTAAAAGACATACATGGTGTTAGAAGTTTGACAGCCTTAATTTTAACAGACGATAGAATACATTAAAATAAACAAAAAACCTTATATGACATGGGTCCTAAACTCAACTATTTCCGAGAAAAAAAGTATCAAAATCTCCAACATGATGTACAAAAGTTCGATTAATTAAGGAATATTGACATAACTGCGTGTATAGAATACCATAAAATACAATGTTTATCACTTTTTTGAACATCTTTATGCTTAATTCTAAAAAATAATTAGCGTTGTAATAAATTTAAAATTCGATAAAATTCATATAGAGCAATGTACGCAGCGAATAATACGAGGTACTAGCTGTCCAGCAATACGCAATTCAGTTGATATCTGGAATTGGACCGTGTCTGAGTGTTTTCTGTGTGCCTTTTCTTGAGGTGTTTTCCAGAAAATTGGATTTGAAGATGTCGTGCGTGCTTCAAAAATAGTGGTGGACATTTTGAGCACATGTTGTAGTTTTGTACTTGTATGTACGTTTAAATATTACTGAATTTTGCTTTTTGGTAAGTACCTATATTATTTTCAATACTTACGATTATTTGGATGATGTCAATCTTTGGGTACTTTAATTATCTATTTTTCAAATTCATAATTTGATTAAAAGTTAAGTTCCTGTTTTTTAAGAGATTCATAATTACTAAAATTCAGGCTAAAATGTAAGCACAACACTATATACGTACTATAAAATCGATACATTTTATTTTATTTATTTAAAAACTGGAAAACAATCGTCTCGAAATTTACTAAATGTTTCACAATAATAGTGGTTTACATTTTTTCCGGAGGACAAGTCTGCTGCGTGCAAACTTGCTATGCACCAGCTGTGTAGCGTTAGGTTAAGTGTTGTTGTCACATTGTGATGAAACTCCCCAATATTAATACTCGCTGTATTTTGAAAACTGATCTTACGCTCCTGTAATATACAATTTTTTTGTTCATTTATGATTACTCTATCTCTTGCTCAAGTAATGGCAGTCCAACTTCTTACACCCTGTATTATTTCTTTTTAAAAAAGTGGTTACATATTTTTTTAGACTTTAAGAAAAGGTAGTTTATCAAAACATAATGATAGAAAATCGGTAACTTGCCAGAAAATGTTACTAGTCACTTCTGCATATTCATCAGTTTTTTTTATTTTAAAAAGTTATGTTTCTTTGAATTAGTCTTTTGCTTATTAGTTATTACACATTTCTAAACTGTTTTTGTACTATAAAATGTTTTAACAACAGCCTTTCCATTCTATAGTTGCATGTACCACATTATGAAACTTACACAAACTTATCTTTAACCAGCTTTAAGAAAAAAAAATTATTGGCACTTATAAACAGTGATTTTAAAGGAATTATTGAAATGGAGGGAAATACTGGTTATTTTAAGTATTCCATGAACATTTCGTTAATTTTTGGTGATAGCAAACAGACTTTTTCTTAATAAAGACAGCCGCCACCTCCCTTTTTCTGTTGAATAATTGAAAACACATTTAAAAATGTATCTTTACTGTAAAAAAATTCTATAATAGCAGTGGAATATGGTGCCTTTGGAAAATATTCGAGAAACAAGTATTTTTTATAACTAAAATTTATCATCAAATATCTCAAAACAAAAACACTTTTCAAATACAGAACCTACTATCATTATTTTTTCATAATATACTTGTTACCGTTTAATTAAAAAAAATTGACCATTCTCTACATTATACTTACTCACTAGATGTTTGAACATCTTTTTCATCAAAAATTGCACCTTTGGAAAACTTGTCTATTTCTTGACTACTTGTATCAATATCTTGCCAACTGGTTTCCCCCTCATTGCCCCTTAAAACGTAATTGCTTAAAAACTATATCCTTTAAAATTAATTTTGGACCAATCTTTGTATTTACTTTAGAACAAACTACGAGTCACGAATAACTCAAATCACAATATCTCCTACTTCTTAATTGCATGAAATAATTTTTCGTATTCTCTGCATCAAAACTGTAATGTGCAGTTTATTTCGCATAGTGTTCTGATATGATCAACCCGCATGTGCTCTTGAAACGTTCTATTGTCACAAGTGCCTAATTGAAACGTATCCGTGTCTGTCATAAGCATACAAGTGTTATTATTTCCACATTTTACTCCAATAAGTGTTAAAAATGAATTACATGAAGGTGTTAGCGGACAATCTGATAATCAGGACATGCTCAAATAATCGAATTTAACAGATTAAAGACATTGTAACAAAAACAATGCATATAAGGAAAGAGATTGAAACGTGTATATGTTGATGAGTGATGTGTGAAAATATACAGTTCCTTAACAAATGTGTCTGTCAAAAGAGTTAAAAACTGACAAGATAAAAAAGCAAATCACATGGTAGGAAAATACATCAAAATTGACAATGGATACCTGTTGGATACTTGGATAAACTAAAGTGAGTGTAAATTTGTAAATATAATCTAGTTTTTAATAAAATCAAAATATCCATTTATTCTACATTCAATAATTTTGGAACCCTCTAAAATGATAAGCCCATGGAATCACATTCCCCGCACGTCTTAAACGTCGCACAGATTTACATGTTGAAAATGATACCATACCCATTTTGACACTACAGTAAAATACAATTTATTACCTTTTATCAATTTCCTGTTTGTTGCTATCACTCTTGTTTATATAGTCAAGTAAATCAGTAATGCCCATTTTAGACACACTAGTGCTATCCTCATAGAAAGTTTCGTCTGAATCTGCGCCATCATCAGGTTTTTCATTTTGTGTTCTATAAAAGGAATAAAGCTATAGTCTTTGCAAGATTTGTGGAAAAACATTAACACTATTGCTGTTTTACTGCCGTTGAATTACTGAAGTCACAAATTTGTAACTATTACTTACCTCCTTGAAGAATTTTTGAACATTTGTGTTAGTGTAGAATTGTTACTTTTCCTATTCTTAAATTTTTTCTTCGATAAAAAGTCGCTGACTCTACTGGAAGTTTTAGATTTATTTGTAATGATTTCTGGGGTGCCCTCAATCACAGAAAAATCAAGATGCGATTTAACTACTGGTGTTTTAAAGAGATTTGTTTTTACGGAATTTCGGATGGTTTCGACAGGAGTTACAGGTTTCTCTTGACATTCCGTTATAATACTGAATGCTGGTGGGTTAGGTATAACTTTGTACCTCTTCCTTCGCTTTTTAATAGTTGGGCTGCCTTCAATATTAATCACGTCATCTTCAGATATAGATAAATCAATAACAGATAAATCTGTTGTGGAACAATGGGCATTTAAGTCAATATCTTTGAAAAGATCAGGACTCTCATTATCAGTTTGGTTTTTTCTTAGAGTTGCTTGCTTTAATCCAACATGGTTTTCAAAATTATTTTCTAAAATGGAAATGCATTAATTTAAATTCGATAGTAATAATAATACACCTTTACACCTTTATCAACGGTATTTGGGGACTTTGTCTTTCTGATCTGGGGTCTACGAAATAAAAAATATATGTAAATTATCCTCTTCATTAAAAAATTATTTAAACTTACGATAACGACTTTGTCTTTTTTTCCAAATCATCTTTGTATTTAAGCAGTTGTTTAAGATTTATCATTTCCACTTCCACATTATTCCGTAAATCTGAAAAATAAAAATGATTTCATTTTTTACTTAAACTTCTACATCAAGCATCAAGTAATTACTTTTTAATTCTTTTTGGAAGGCATATGATAATAAGCTGACTCTCTGCAATTCTTTCCGTTCATTCTCCCATATCTGTATAAAATCATCGTTAAACAATGCAATCCACTCCTTATAAACTTCGGAATACATTTCTCATTTCTCCACAAAACACTTCTTTTTGCTCTGCTTACTTACAATTTTAGGTTAGGATTTTAAAAATTCGTGACAAGCAATTGCCAACCTAAATTGTTTTTTACAACGTTTTTTTCTTGTGCAGAAGATCGATGCTGCCAACCTCGTCTCAGTGTTTCAGCAATAATCCCAAGATTCCCAAGCAGAGAACTAGTAAGTTGGTACTTTGTGACTAGTAACTAGTTTCCAATAATTTCAAAATTTCCTTTATTGTAAAAATAAAGTGTAAGTTAGAGAATAAATTGATAAATTCAAATTGATTGAGCGTTGCTGATCGATAGGGTGTAATACTTTCTCCATTTCATTTATTTTTGTGTTGTGCATTTTGTAAGTCTGTTTTTAAAATACATATTAATTAATTTGATGTTAGGGCTAGACGCACAAGAAGTAAATTCAAACAAACAATTAAATCATCATATTATATATTTAGTTATTCTTAATTACATATCTGTTTACCATATAGAAATATGGGTCTAAAACAATAACGAACAAAAATTTGTGGAGTTAAAAGTAAAATGACCACTTTACAAAATATGCATTATATAATATATAAAATCTATACAAAATAAGGCTCAACTATAATGTGAGAATTATTAACTTGAAAATGATTTCTTCATTATGTTTGCTCCCATCGTCAAACCAAATTGCCTAAGAAGGTCCGACAGAGTCTTGCACACAATTTCTGTGTTTAAGGACACACCTTGGTTATTTTCTTCTGAAAGAAAACATAATTTTATGGAAAATTGTACATTTTCAATAGTCGTTACCTTCAAAATTAAGTTGTAACTGATGAATTGACCCAGGATTGGATTTGCAAATTTGTCTTAATTCCGTCAGCAACGTGTCTAAGGGGGCACTAATCTGTTGATCCCACTAAACCAGAAAATTAACATAAACCATTACAAAATATTTCATAAAATGGAGACAAACATTTCAGATTTTTATAAGTATTTAACTACATAAAACTGCCTTACATCTACCTGTGACTGTTTGGTGGAGCAAATCTCCATTAAATGTGACAGTTGCACTGAAGTTCTGTTAATTATCATCTGCTCCAGATTGTAGAGCAACTGATAAAGATAGTTGCGACTGTCTACGTCACTCTCTGTCGAGTCTCTCGGTGGTGTAAGTGAATCGTCTAAAAGCCTCTGAGGCAAGGACGGGATGCCAGGGGCAATCCCTAGTAGACCGGGGCCAGGTTTTCCCTTAAAAGCAGCAGTTGCTAAGGCATAAGAAAGGACTGCTGCATCGTACGCCTCCATCTTCAACACTTTCGAAGAACTGAAATACGAAGTTTGAAAGTTATCGTACTATATTCAGCAGATCTTGTGCGGGTTAAAGTTAAATGAGAATAACTAATTATTATTTTCAAATGAAAACACCAACTGATTTCTGAATATTTCATTAGCTATTTTAAATTCTATTGATGTACCTCTTTGAACTGTCTTCATTTAAAATACGTTTACTAGTTCCTAGTTTACTGGCCCTATTAAAAACATAGGTGAAATAGTAGTTCGCAATAAGACTTTATTAATTCCAATTAGGGTTAGTACCAATCGATGCCAGTACCGTTAAAGGTAGTATAAAGAGAATTCAGATCAGTCTATGTAGCAGATCTGTGAGCATAATTCATAAAAGAAGGTTGACAACTTTTATTGTGTGTAATCATTTTTTATTTGTAGCATTTTACCCACAATTTGCATCATATCTTTTAACGATTTCTCGCATATAGTAAGCATATCGCCTTTTATCTTTCGGTAACTTTTAAATCGGATATAGATGTTTATTTAATATATAATATCTATATCTATACTAATATTATAAAGAGTATATATTTTTGTATGTATGTATGTTTGTTACGAATAAACTCAAAAACTACTTGACGGATTTTGATAATTCTTTCAGCATTAGAATGCTACATTATCCCTGAGTAACATAGGCTATATTTTTTATATCCCAAAATGTTTAAAATAAATGTCCACCCGTGCGAAGCCGGGACAGGCTGCTAGTATTATATATAATAAATGTTGCTGTGCACAGATGCGTATTTTATGAAAACATTAATCTACAATAATATAGTTGCTTACTCAACTAAACTCGGATTTTAAAGCTCGTTTTAAAGAAAAAAGTTTTATTATGTAGTTTGGCTATGATTTTAATGTTTTAGTACAAACCCTACTACTTACCATTTTTCTTAGGTAGATTTAATACATATAACATATATTTACTAATTATTGTATTTGGGATTACTGTATATTCTTTAATATGTAAGAGATACTCGTCATTGAATCTAACTTTGGTTGTGGGATACTTTTACAAACTTTTTTGTAGTAAGCTTGCAATAAAGAAAATATTTTTGTTATTGATAAAAAATATGAAAAACGCCTCCCCGTCTTGAAACTACTATTTCAAGTATCAAATATATTTCTTTACTGGGCGTATTAATATTAACATTTTAATGATTAGTTTTGAAAGTTTTTTTAATTATGTATATACAAATATTCTGAAAACCGTGAAATATACACAAAATTGTGTGAAAATAGTGTGAGTGATGAAGTGTTGTTTTTATTTTTTCGACACTTTTGTTTGAAGAATCAAGAATTTCATGAAAACTTTTGCGATATTACAAATGTTCAAAAATTAAATTACTTTCATGAATTTGTATACAGGGTGTTAAATATTTAAAAAAGTACAAAGAAGTTTTAAAATCGAATTTTTTTTTGGAAAGTGGGCAGTTCCCGAACTTCCCGGTTGTATGTGCGTCTTAGCACTGTTGCCTGTTGTTATTTTTTCAAATCAACTGTATGAAACTGAGTGGCAGAGAGCTAAACTGCAATAGAAAATAATTTTGTAAACGCATATTGCTTTTGTGTGACTGTAAAATGTTACTTTCTAAACCATGTTACTTTCTAAACCAAAAAGTCATTAAAATGCTAATATAGATACACCCTGTATTATTAAAATATGGTAATTAAAATTGTAGCACTATTATTCATTTTTGATTACGAGGCATATACACAATGAAAGAGTAAGAGATTCTGATGTTCTGTTGTTTTTGTTTTTGACAAAGTTGTCAACATTGCATTCAAGACCAAGACATTGGAAGTACAATGTACACTCATTTGTCTCACTCATAATCATTTTTCTTCGGGCAAAGGGAAAGGCGCTGTTCTAGATTTTTTAACGAAATGTATTGTGAATGGCGACGAAATGTAGGTGGCACAATACATCCGTCTTCACCATTAGTGAAGAAATTCAAAACCGTTGTTTCGGCCCGAAAAATCATGACAACTCTGTATTGGGACTCCTCATCGACTTTTTCCCCAGGAAGAAACAATTAAAGTTGCACGGTCTGTGAAACCCTGAACAACAGTACGGAGGGCAATAGAAAACAAAAGAAGGGAGTGTGCTTGTTGCATGACAATGCATGTCCCTACACAGCCAACGCCACAAGGCAACTTTTGGATTTATTCAGTTGAAATATCATCAACCACCCCGCTCACAGCCCTGAACTGGCACCTTCTGATTTTCATCTTTTCTCTTTTCTGAAGGTGTTGATGGGTGGAAAATGGTTTGCTACTGATGATGAGGCCCACAGTGCTGTGAAACAACAGAAAGCTAATCCCTCGGCTCACAACTGCATTGAGGTTGAAGGCGACTACGTCGAAAAATAGTGTTTGATGTACTTTCCTGAATGTATGAATTTTTCATAAATATGCTGTTTCGATTTTTAAAAAATTGAGTATCGCGCCAATTTCGAGATTTGGGGGTTTCTCATATATGATGAAAATTGAAAAACACTTTATATCTCTTAAAGGAATTGAGACATTAAGATGAGGTTTTACGAATTCAATTTTTCTCAAAAATCAAGTCCAAGACATTTGAACTACTTTTTGTATCAGATTCAGTTCACAAGAGGACAAATGGACTAAAAAGTGAAAAATATGAAAAAAAGGCAGGAAAATACGAATCACCATGATGAACTTCAATTTTATCGTACAGGGTGGGTAAAAAATACAAAAAACAAATTGTTTATGCTACTCGAATATCAAATCAATATCCTAGGAAGATCAGAAAATCCTTCAGATATCTATGCAAGCAATGAAAAAAATGTGTTCAATATGGGGGTGGTGTTTTTGAAATTTTATATCTTTATCATATTGCTTTGTTTACTTTTTTTAGTTTAATTGTTGTAATTATGTTCGTATTTGAAAATTACACTTGAATAAGACGTATTTTAGTTTTGTAGTACTTTGTTCCCTGCATAAAAAATTAAATTTTTGACAACGGTACTCTTAATCACTTTTCAAGAAAAAATGTATATCAAGAATGCCTTTTTTCGTATCTTGCAAAATAAGGCATGACAATGCACGTCCTTACACAGCCAACGCCACAATTCATTCGGTTGGAACATCAACCATCCCGCTCACAGGCCTGACCTGGCCCCTTCTGATTTTCATCTTTTCTCTGAAGGTGTTTATGGGCGGAAAAAGCTTTACTACTGACGATGAGGCCCACAGTGGCGTGAAACAATGATTTTGAGAGGCGCCGGGAGATTTTTTGACGAAGTATCAGAAAGCTAGTACCTCGGCTCACAAGTGCATTGAGGTTGAAGGCGACTACGTCCAAAAATAGTGTTTGATGTTCCTGAATATGGATTTTTTCAGTTTTGATTTTAAAAAAATTGAGTACTCTGTGGATATGCCTCGTATTAAAATGAAAATTTGTTTTTCTACGTGAAGTTGCTTTAAATTCTGCAATCGCACCAAATTTCTTTTTAACTGTTGTTAAAATCAAAATACCGGGATTTTTTGAACAAAAATTAAGAAAGTAAATGAAGAAAAATTCAAATTTAAAGCTTCTTGCTTTTCAAATTGAGAACCGTCAGTTTTTCCTTAAAAGTACAACAGAGGGGTGGAAATATTAAAAAAAAAATTGAAATAAATAACTACAGACCGATTTTACCAAATAACCAGCATCGCAATTTCATTCCCGAACGACACAGACGTTTACCTTCATGCACACAAACTGAAACGATCGACAAACACAGCTATGCACCTTAAGGGAAAATAAAAAGCGGAAAATAAATAAATCCCATTTATTTTAATTTCAAAATAAAATAAACATATGTACAAATATATCAATAAACAAATCAACTAATTTGCTACCTATAATAACTTATATATTATTTACAATAAATAGTGTACTGATTTCACGTCCTGATACAACATAACTAATTTGATTCTACGAATTAGTGCTGTCACGATAATTTTAAAAAAGAACTAGTCGTCACCTATCTTTGAAAAGTCTTACCAAAGCAAGGCACTGAATACAGGCGAAAAACATCAATATGCTTTAAATTTTATAAATATTAACAACGTTATTTACAAGGTCCATTATTTCTACAATTTCCTTCTCGAAAAACGTCTACGAATAAAATTAGTTACTTAGCACCTTTCTTTTTTTTTTTCGATCATTTTATACAATTTTATACAGTTTTTTATAAACATTTTTGGAAACATTCCGCCGTGTTTGCACTCGTACAACACCACGGCGTATGTTACATCATAAAATCAATATACAGAAATTATAGGGAACATTCAAATAAAAATAAACTAAGCCGTAAAATAAAAAAAAAATGATCGATATAACATAATAAAATTGTTTCAGTCCGGGATGCACTACGACATTTACATACTGAGCTGTTAGCAAGGTTAAAATCACTCTAACAGTTACGTCCTTGGTGTCACTTAAATACCGCAGGCAAATATCTATAAAACCGACTTTCTCTCTCTATCTCTCGTCACGTCGTATCACTAAAAGTCACCAGTCGCGGCAATGAACAATCGTATCGTTATTTAAAGTACTAACAACTCAGGGTTGCAACACAGCACCATCAAATCACTCACCCTCCGCCATCCATTGAGTCGTCCGGTTTTCCCGACGGCTTGTCCCGTCCTAGAACGGACGGCTTGCCCGGCGGGAGGTTCTGCATCGCCTCGGCGTGCTCCCTGATCTGCCGCTTCCGTTTCTTGCTCCACAGCTCGTGGCAGTCCTGCCACGTCGGCAGCTCGGGGGCCGATATTCTGCAAATTAAAGTGAAAATGTTATTTATGTCACGACTAAGATGTGTAGATTTCTTGAAATAAAATTTTTCCACATAATTTACAGATTTTATAAAAAAAACCTATTTATCAAAGAAATAACAAAAAATAAAATTAGTCATAACTAAGTTAATTTTTTAAGAGATTATATTAATCAAGCAAATATGTGAGTTATATACAGGGTTTTCAAAAAGATTGGAATCCCCCTCTATCTCAGAAAATACTGCTCAAATAAGAAAATTATTACAAAAGTTGCAGGGTTTTGAGTGAGCAATCCAACAGTGACCTTGACCTTGACCTTGAAGGACATTTAGAGGTCAAGTTCGAAATTTTAAATGGAACTGTATACTTCTGGCCACGGAAATGGTAAGAGCAGAAAATTTTATGTTCGAATGTGACCTTGATCATGACCTTCAAGGTCATTTAGAGGTCTACCTGAAAATTTTAAATGGAACCGTATATTTTTGACCCAGGAAATGGAAAAAGTGTAAATTTTTACATTCGGATATGGCTTTGACCAAACCCTTCAAGGTCATTTAGAGGTTAAGTTGAAAATTTTAAATGGAACCTTATATTTTTGACCTAGGAAATGGAAAAATTGTAATTTTTATGCTCGGATATGGCCTTGACCATGACCTTCAAGGTCATTTAGAGGTTAAGTTGAAAATTTTAAATGGAACCGTATACTTTTGATCCCGGAAATGAAAAGAGCGAAAAATTTTACATTCGGATTGATTATTTGACCATGACCTTGAGGTCTCAAGGTCATGGTAGTTTCAAGGTGACAGTATTTCCAACAGCCTGTCTCCGAGGGTAAAACGTACTCGGGGTTTTCGGGGTCACCCTTTTGACTATTGGAGGCAAATGTAAGAGTTCCCGTTTTAAAAACCATTCCGACTTTAAAATTTTGTTGGAAGTAATCGCCATTTTTACTTTTGGAATAAGGACGAGGTCATAACAATATCACCATCCGATAGCTAAGAAAATTTTTTCCGTTAAATTTTTTCATAAGAGCATTATTAAACTTAAGTTCTTTGCTTACATTTGACGTTACAGTTACCTTTAGGTCATGGTCAAAGACATGGTATAGGTCATTTTTGAATTTTACGCTCACTCAATTTCCACAATCAAGAATATCGGGTCATTTATTAAAAATCGTCCTGACCTGTAAACGACCTTCAAGGTCATGGTCCAAGATATACGGTTCCATTTAAAATTTTCAGGTTGACCTCTAAATGACCTTGAAGGTCATGGTCAAGGTCACATTCAAACACAAAATTTTCCGCTCTTACCATTTCCGGGGTCAAAAGTATACGGTTCCATTTAAAATTTTCAATTTGGCCTTGTCCATGACCTTCAAGGTCATGGTCAAGGTCACCGTTTGTTTTCTCACTCAAAATCCTGCAACTTTTGTCCTAATCATTTTTTTGTTTGAGCAGTATTTTCTGAGATAGAGGGGGGTTCCAAACTTTTTGGAAACCCTGTATATTCCGCTGATAATTGTGTGTTTATGAGGCCCGGGCGTGTTCAAATTCAAATTTTACTCTCCCGGGATATCCCCATTGCAACAAAATAAATAAATAAATAACACTTACAGCTCCGGATTAATATTTTTCAGCCAAGGAGACTTTAAGGCGTCCTCAGCTGTAATTCTCTTGTCCGGATCCAGTTCCAACATTTTATCTAGTAAATCTAATGCTGAAGCAGGCATGAAAACGAAATCTTCTCGCAAACGCCTCCTGTGAAGTTTGTTCGGTTTGAGGGTGTGGAACAGGGGGAGTTTGATTACCGACGGCCATACCGCCGGCGTAGGCGTACCGCACACCCTCGATATCCTCTCCAACTGCATGAGTTCCGCGTTAGCCTGGGAAAGTGAAATAAAATGTAGGCGCCTTTTACATCTATTAATGTTTAGTATTCGTTTAATTTTTTATTTGATAGTTGAATAAACATAATAAATAATTTTAATTTGGAAAATGAAAATTTAATCTGCAACACCCATTGGCTATTTCACCAACCAGTTGAATGTTGAATTTGCACCGAAAGCGAGGAACAGAAAAGTAGTGTGCACACTCCTTTTTCTCTGATTTTGAAACGAAGATTCGCAGCAGCTTCACCCGCTGCACACAAACATTTGGTAAGCGCATTTTTAACTTCAATATTAGTACGCTTTCCAATTATCACACACATTATTCATAATATAGTTAGACAATTAATCAAACTTAGGATTGGAAATATTAGATGGCGACTCTTCCATAAAATCTGTCCTAGTTTTTAAATTCATCAACGGAGAATGTGCAACTATCAAAATTTCATTAAAACGTTCTAAAAATTAATTATGTATCATTATGCGAATTCTAAGAACTATTTTCATAAATGCTTATTACCATTCAATTGCTTTTCAAATTAAAAATTAAATTAAATCGGTTGAGGTCTATTGTTGTCAACTGTTTGTCAACATTATGAAAATATTAAAAATTGACGGTAGAGAGTTGGACTAGGCGGTATCTGTTTTGGTTTGGGTGAATCGTATATCCACGGAGATTTTTGGCTTTTTGGCTTTCAAATATCACTAGAAATGAAAATTTTTCTATGCGCATAAAGAAAACGTAAGCTTAACTTTTGGCGGCACAGGATGTTAAAAAAATTCGAAAAATGTCATATTTTTCTCCCTATTTAATTATGTATCTTTTCAAGAGTTGATTTTAGGCGAAAAATTTGCCAAAATTAGGATTAAAAACATTACTTTTTAGGGAATTTTTTTTGTGGTCTTTAAATTAAATTAATTACAAATTAAAGAAAACTTCATGTTATGTAGATTTGTCACACTAAATTTCATCAAAATCGGTTTGATAGATTTTGCATAATAAGTTTGCAATCCAAATTTTGAAAAAAAAATTTGCAAATTTTCAAAATTTTGCTCAGCAAAAACCAAGGCTTTTAGATACTTGAATATTTAATCACATATAGAAGGGCTCTCAAGCTTTCAAACGCTTTTTGAAAAATTCGAATCCGTCAATTAGGAGAGCTCTGGCGCTTGTTTAAACATTGTTCGAATTTTTGTACTCATAAACAATTAGAATAACTTTGTGAATATTCAATCAAATCAACTTTTTTTAAGCAGGTTTTAAAAGTTATTGGAAAGACGCTTCTTAAAAAAAAACAGATCGATTGGTCAATTAGTTACGTAGTTATAGCCGATCTAAGTTAACCGTCATTTACACTAAATGTATCGGGACATTCGGGCTAATTTTTCGAAAAATACCTTTGGTAGTCTTGAGTACTTACCAAATCTAAGTTTGCAATACTTTTCTTCATTGGCAACCTACTTTAAAACGTGTTTAAAGTTATTTATGCAAGCGAGAAATTTAAGAAAATCGAACGAGTGGTGGTAATGGGAAAAGCAGAGAGCGCGGTCGCTTCGGCCTGCTCGAAATTGAATCGGTGAGTTCAAAACCACGATGCGATTAAAAATTTTTAATATCTCAGGATCTAGAGGTCCCATTTTGATAAAATTTTTTTTAAATTAATGTCTCACAATTTAAAAAAAACAATTAGCATATTTCCAAATGCCTATCGTTAATAATTATTGGTCTTTCAACAGTCCGATAATTATTTATCTAATTAATTATTCTAATTGTTTATAAGTACAAAAACTCGACCAATGTTTAAACGCCAGAGCTCTCCTAATCGACAGATTCGAATTTTTCAAAAAGTGAAAGCTTGAGAGCCCTTCAATATGTGATTAAATTTTCAAGTATCTAAGGGCCTTGGTTTTTGCTGTGCAAAATTTTGAAAATTTGCAAATTTTTTTTAAAAATCTGGTTTGCAAAATTATTATGCAAAATCTATTGGACCGATTTTGATGAATTTTGTGTGATGATTCTACATAATATGAAGTTTTCTTGAGCCAAGTATGAAGGTCCTATACCCAATTTAAAGACCCCAAAAAAAAGTAATGTTTTTTAATCCCATTTTTGGCGATTTTTACAATAATAATCATGATTCGTTCGATTTGTAACTAGTCATATTTTGCAAAAAATTTAAATACAAACATTTTTTCCTCTTCCATTTTTGCCTAAAATCAACTCTTGAAAAGATATGTAATTAAATAGGAAGAAAAATATGACATTTTTCAAATTTTTTTAACATATTGTGCCGCCAAAAGTTTAGCCCACTTTTTTCATAGAAGTTTTCATTTCTAATGATATTTGAAAGCCAAAAAGCCAAAACTCTCCGTGGATATACGATTCACTCAAATATGGACTTTTTGAAACAGATACCGTCTGGACTAAGTCTCTGTCTAGTATTTTCATTTCTAAGTTGAGAGTTGTTTTAAAAAACATATATTTTATCTCGCACATTTTTTTTACTTTAAAGTTAATTCAAACAAACTTAATCAGAAATATTGAAAGCAAATTTAATTATATTAAAAACTCAAAAATAACACGATCTGCTACGTTCGACAAACACTTATCGGTCAAACACTTACTTGGAAAAGGGGCTTCTTTAAGAACAGTTCCCCGAGTATACAGCCGCAACTCCAAATGTCGATTGCGGGACCGTACCTCTCCTCGCCGAGGAGTAGCTCCGGGGGTCTGTACCACAGCGTGATCACTTTGTTCGTGTACGGCCGCTGTCTGTCTTCGGCATTGTAGAGTCGGGCTAGTCCGAAATCGGCCAGTTTCACCTCGCCCCTGTTCGTTTGTTAACGGGTCAATAAAAGGCATGGCATAATGTGACATGAACTTTAGATCAAAAAAGTAATTTGTGGTCTTGTAAGGGGCGCGCCAATTTCAAGATTTGAGGTTTTTTTCATATACAGGGTGATTCACAAATGGTGAGCAAAAATGAAATCCTCGTATTCCTGAGAGTCTTTCAGATAAAGTTTTCTTCGTCTAGGACACTTCGTTAAAAAGATGGTGTGTTATACTTCAAAAAATATTTTTAATTTTTATATGGTCGTTTTCACACTGGCCGACACGACACCAGCCCAACAACGACAACGATGACGGTGGATGCGTAATCTCATATAAATAAATGGTCATGTTTTCACACTCGCCGATATATCGGTATCGTGACGTGACAGGCTGCTCCGCTCGCGTCGTCGCTGATTTTGTGTCGGTATTGGTGCTGTGCTGATGTCGTGCATGTGTTGGTGTCGGTATATGTGAAAACGCCCTATCATTATTGGTCGTTATAACCAACAGACTCTATGGTAAATGTATATAAAAATGCGTCGCTAAATCCGAAATGTCGTTGTAAACGACGTTTTAATATGATATTTCTATAGGATTTAATCGGGACTTCCAAATTCCGTCGTTATATCCAATATGTGGTATAAAGCAATGTCGTTATAACCAATTTTCACTGTATTTTGATTTTGGACAATGTTTAAATAAATACATGTGCCCAATTTGAAATTATTTCACATACTAGTTTTTAAATTATTTAAAAAAATTAAAAATATTTTTTTAAGTGTAACACCCTGTATCTTTTTAACAAAATAGATAAAAACTTTATACGAATAACCCCTTAAAATTTAACAAAAAATACGAGGTTTCATTTTTGGTCACCGTTTGTCAATCACTGTGTATGATGAAAATTGAAAAACACTTCATATCTCTTAAGACATTTGAACTACTTTTTGTATATATGTTTTGGAAATATAAGAAAACCCTAATAGTGTCGAAATTGGTCTACCATATACTTAAAAATTAGAATTTTATTTAACTAAAACCAACATTACTTCCCTTTAGTACTAAAATTTTAAGTTACGAATTTCTAAATTACATAATCCTGGAATAAGCAGAATTTTGTGATAAAAATTCACTTACTCTGATTCAATTTTCGAAGAACAATGATTGCTGAAAACCACATCTTAACATCTTGATTTGTTTCAATTTTTCTCGAAAATCAAATCCGAGACATTTGAACTACTTTTCGTATATATACTTTGGAAATATAAGAAAATCCTAATAGTGTCCAAATTGGTCCACTATATACTTAAAAATTTTGAATTTTATTTAACTAAAACTAACATTACTTTCCATTAGTACTAAAATTTTAAGTTACAATTTTCTAAATTACATAATCTCGGAATAAGTAGAATTTTGTGATAAAAAATCACTTACTCTGGTTCAATTTTCGAAGAAAATTGATTGCTGAAAACCACATCTTAACATCTTGATTTGTTTCAATTTTTCTCCAAAATCAAGCCCGCGACATTTGAACTACTTTTCGTATATCTCCTTGGGAAATATGAGAACACCCTCAAAAGTTTCAAAATTACAGTTTTATTTTACGATTACGATTTTTAAAATCAGATAACCTTACAATAAGCAGAAGTTAAATGTAAATAGATAAATACTTATGTGATAATTACTTCTGATAAAAAATTTCGCAATTGGTCCAACTTATAGTTCCAAATTAGAATGTTAGTCAACTAAAACCAATGTTAATTTTCCTGTTTGAATTACAATTAAACAATAATTATAAAAATAAAAACCACCCCCTAACTTTTAAACGAATCAAGATATTGACATGTGGTTTCTGCCGTTCAATTTTTCTCAAAAACATTTGACCTACTTTTTGCATATCTACCTGGGAAATATGAAAAACCTCCGAAAAGTGTTGAAATTGGCAACCTTTCAATTTAAAATTTTATTTAATTAAAGCAAAAATTACTGCCGATGTTATTAAAATTTAAATTATGAGATTTAAAATTAAGATAGTCTCGGAACAAGCAAATTTTGAATTATGGTCGATAATTAATAAAATATAATTTGCTTACCGGTTATTCATCAATATGTTACTGCACTTAATGTCCCTGTGAAGGAAATTCTTTTTATGGCAATAATTCAGGCCGTCCAGTAGCTGTTTCATGATGCATGCGTTGTTCAACTCATTGAAGTCGACCATACCGGACTCGAGCAGTCCCATCAAGTCGTGGTCCATGTATTCAAATACCAGATAGAAAGAGCCCTTTTCCTGAAAAAAAGGGAACATTATTAAGGATTCTCTTTCATATTTTTTCCCAGAACGTAATACCTTCCTGAAATCGACAGCGTCCTGCTTATCCGTGACGATCTCTCGGAGATTGACGATGTTCTTGTGATTGAGCTGTCGCAGAATTTTAATCTCCCTGACGGCGGTAATCGGAAAGCCCTCTTTCTCGTTCTCCAACCTTACTTTTTTCAGTGCCACCAGCTCGTTGGCATGTACGTCTTTGGCTTTGTAAACTTGCCCGTAAGTCCCTAAAATATTACCACAATTATAAATTTTGTTTATATTAAACGCCATGCTCTTTTACCCTCTCCGATTTGTGCTATGACCTCAAACATGTCCACGCATCTTTCACCCCAGTCCTTCCCGCTCGTCTGGAAGTTCCTAGAACCCTTCCTCTTGAGGATCGTAGGCCTTTTCAGTTTCGGTTTGGCCGGTGCTTTGCTTTTTTCAACCACCTTTACGTTGTTTCTAGGCGGAGTGGTGGGTATCTCGTCGTCGCCACTGAGCTCCTCGGTCCCGGGAATGACTAAAAAATGGTAAAGCTTCAGGGCTTTTTATGGAGAAGCAAACGCTCCAGTAAATATCACTAATTGCCGAAAAAGACAAAAATAATTTGGGTAAAAAAATGGATAAGAAAGTGATAATTATACATTCGTTACATGTAACTTTAAAGTTTGCGCAATTTATTGGACTTGCAGCGTCTTTCACACTTTACGATACGAAAGTTGTGCCATTTTCCAGATTGAGCATTACAAAAAGTCTACAAGTGTGTGAGCAGCTTTAGAGTTAGATTTAACCTGCAACATGAAGCTAAAATACTGTTGCCTCATTCTGAATCATTTTCTTGATACACGACTTGGCAAACTGACATCTTTCGCTGTTTATGATTACCTTCACACAAAATTTAATTCAACACAATAACAAATGCGAATAATGTACCAAATTAATCTGAAAACTTACCTGGAGGCATCGGCAAGTCTTTAATACTTTTCCTAGGCGGGGTCTTGGCCTTAGGAGGAAGTACGACAGGCAGAGGGCTCGGAGACCGACTCGGTGGCGACTCGATCGCCTCAAGTTCGGTCTGGTCTATACCGGGAGGCATGGGCAGCTTCGTGACGTTCTTTGGCTTAGATTTATTGGCTTCAGGAAGAACCTTCTTCGCCGGCGGACTACTCTCGGCGGTTACGGTGGCCGGTTTGGGGGGCGGCGCACTATTTGGTAACGGAGGAGTGGGAGGTGATGTTATCTTTTCCGTGTTACTGACCGCGCTATTGTTACCGTCCGGTAGTTCAATGTCATTCAGTTTGGCCGGCTCCGTCTCCGGAATAGGTATGTCGTCGATGTCCATCACCACGGGACTGGCAATGACATTTTCTTCTTTACTTTCCGGCACAGGCTTACTGTCAACTTCGTCATCCTTTTCTACCGACTTCTGACTTGTTTCCGTCTCGTTGTCCGCCCTGGTGTGATTAGATTTGCTTTCCAACAGGTTCTGTTCCAGTTTCTTCAGTTCCAGCTCGCGCTTATGCCTGTCTTTCACTAACTCGGCGAATAAACTCGTGTCCGTTATTTTGTTTTTCAGTTGTGATGACCTGATCGAGTGTGGGGATGGGCTTCTATGCCTGTGTCTAAAAAAAATATTTATATACATGTCCCAATTTATAGGTATCTATTATTAAATGAAACACTCGTATTTCAAAACAGTAACTTCCTTAAAACTGCAAATTCTAAGCCTGTTTCGGTATTTTTGGGTGAAAAGATTTGATTTTCTTTATTTTTAATATGTAATGGCCAAAACGCCTATAAATTGGACACCCTGTATATATCGTAGAAACTCTCCATGCACCCCAATGAATTGTCTGAAAAGGACTTTGTACCTTCGATTTTAAAAAAAATTGTATATGTACAAATACAAATGGAGTTGTTTTTAGGTAGATAAATGGTAAATAAACACGATCATTCATTATGTTATCTTAATCACCCAGATTACAAGTGTACAAGTATTGCATATAAAATTAGATATGTAATTGGTATGTTCTGCATGACTTCCCTTTTTGTTAGAAATATAGACTGCTATTTCTGTAATTATACTGTGTAGATAATTCATTATTACCGAAACGAAGTTTCGTGACGTTTCGTCGAACATGTCAATTTTGCTTTTTGGAAACACAGTTGTTCATGCATTCTCGCCTCCTTCAGTTTCAATTCTTTGTGTGCCACGACGTTATCGAATTTTTTTATTACAGCTGCCGCACTGGGTATTTTTATTATATGACCCCATTTTTACGTTCAGTTTTTGTCGTATTCCAAGATATGCAGCCGATAATGAATAATTTCCATTATTTAGGTTATTTTGAATTCTCTGATTGTATCATCATACGCGTAGGGTAAAAGAAGAAACTGATAAATCACTATGAATTAAGGTGGAAAAAAAATAAGATATGATATGCGGGTAAGCTTATTTTAACATATTTAGCAATCAAAAGATTTTGTAGCGCAAGTAATTGAAAGTGAAAGAGGTTGTACATGCCAATTCCATTTTCTGTGGAAATATCATGAAGTTTCATCGTTTTGGATATAATTAATTGACAGTAAAACCCCGATTATCCGTGTGCGGCTGATCTGTGCGACGGATTCTTCATATGCTGCAATGTCTATGATTATCCGCTATCCGTGGAGCAAAGTGGGATTTTTTGGTATATTTATGGACAAAATTCTTGTTACAAAAGAATTTTCATCCAATCGTAGCAAATTTTTTTTTTTTAAATACTCGTAAACATCTGTACTTTAAGCAGGAATTGTGGAAATTTCGATATTCTTAAACCCTAAACTATAACAAGTCATTTTATGCCCAATCACGCAATTCACATATTTGAACTCTGCGCATACTTTTGGACAAACTGCTCTAAAATCCACAAAATTCATGCAATCTTAGCAATTTTTTTCTTAAAATACTCGTAAACATCTGTACTTTAAGCAGGAATTGTTGAAATTTCGATATTCTTATGCCCCAAATTATAGCAAGTCATTTTATGCCCAATCACGCAATTTACGTATTTGAACTCTGTGCATATTTTTGGACAAAAAGCTCTAGGAACCACAAAATTCATGTAATCTTGGCAATTTTTTTTTAAATACTCGTAAACATCTGTTTAAGCAGGAATTGCAGAAATTTTGATATTCATATGCCATAGATTCTAGCAAGTCATTTTATGCCCAATCACGCAATTCACGTATTTGAACTCTGCACATACTTTTGGACAAAATGCTCTAAAATCCACAAAATTCATGCAAACTTAGCAATTTTTTTTTTAAAATACTCGTAAACATCTGTACTTTAAGCAGGAATTGTTGAAATATCGATATTCTTATGCCCCAAATTATAGCAAGTCATTTTATGCCCAATCACGAAATTCACGTATTTGAACTGTGCATATTTTTGGACAAAAAGCTCTAGGAACCTCAAAATTCATGTAATCTTAGCAATTTTTTTTTTAAATACTCGTAAACATCTGTTTAAGCAGGAATTGCAGAAATTTCGATATTCTTATGCCCTAAATTCTAGCAAGTCATTTTATGCCCAATCACGCAATTCACGTATTTGAACTCTGCGCATATTTTTGGACAAAAACTTCTAGGATCCACAAAATTAATGCAATCTTAGCAATTTTTTTTTAAATACTCGTAAATATCTGTACTTTAAGCAGGAATTGGGGGGGAAATTTCGACATTTTTAAGTCCTAAATTATGGCAAGTCATTTTATGCCTAATCACGCAATTCACGTATTTGAACTGTGCCCATATTTTTGGACAAAAAGCTCTAGGATCCACAAATTTCATGCAATTGCAGCAATTTTTTGTCCAAAAATATGCGCAGAGTTCAAATATATGAATCGCGTGAATGGGCATAAGATGACTTGCCAAAATTTAGGGTTTAAGAATATCGAAATTTCCGCAATTCCTGCTTAAAGTACAGATGTTTACGAGTATTTTTAAAAAAAATTGCTACGGTTGGATGAAAATTCTTTTGTAACAAGAAAATTAAAAAAAATTGTCTTCGTCTAAATTTCATGAAATAAAAGAAACTTTAAAATCGATAATGTAAGGTATTTTAAACACGTACAATTAACATATTCATGTTTTCCTTATAAATAAAAACAATTACTACAACAACGAAATTAAAACCTTGTGAATTTTTTTACCATTGGTCTTTTTATATTCAAATTATTTTGGGACGATGACAAACGAATTATAGAAATTTGTGAAACATACCTGGGGCTCTTTTCTCTTTCCCTCCTTGGGCTCCGAGATTTGTGCCTTTTCGCTCTGCTCCTAGACGGCGACGGGCTGTAATGCCTATTCCTGCCGTAACTCGACGACCGCGACCGCCTCCTACTAACGGGGCTTCTGCTCCTCGAGTAATTCCTCTTATCCCTCACCCTGGCCTTCTCCCTCCTGTGCTTCCGATGCGCCTCCCTATCTTGTCGCCTTCTCCTACTCGGCGAGATCGACCGGCCGTGCTTGTGACTAGGCATCAGCGACTCGGGGCTGGGATTCCTGTACGGGGAGTGTACAGGCGAGAGGCTTTGGTGGTCGTCGATGAGAATGGGGGAGTCTTTGATCCGTATCGGTTCGTCGGAAATGTAATGGTTGTATTTACTCGAATGCAAGGGGGGAGTGTGCGGGGATTCTCTGGGGTGGTATCCCCTTATGTACTCCTTGTACACTTTTAAGGGAGGGGTTTCTGAAGGCGTCGGCGACTTTTCGTACGCCGGTTCGGGAGAAGCTATGTGACTGTCATTCGACACAGGTGAACAAGCACTCGTGTCTATTTTAGGGTCGATGGGAACCTTAGAAGCGACGGACTCGGGCGGTTCCCAGTCCGATAAAGGTTCTATTTCCGGCCTTGGTGGAGTTTTCCTAGAACTACTCTGTGATTCATCGGATTCACTGTCGATACTCTCCAAACTTGTACTTCTAGAACGGTGTTTTGCTTTCTTCTTTTTCTTTTTGTTCTTTTTATCTCGCCTGTGCTTTTTCTCTTTCTTTTTTCGTTTCTTTCTGTCGATAGAGTCGAAATCCTCTGCGTACGTTGGTGATGCGATCGGGGCACGGTACTCTGCAGGGGAGTCATCTACTTTTCTTCTGTGTCGCACATCGCTAGACCGAGAAGATCGTGACGACACTGACAACTGTCTTTCTCTGATCAAAATTGCATCAGGTGTTGGAGATCTTGGTATCATAGATGGATCTAGTCTATGGGTATGCCTTCTCCCTAAAAATATATTACAGATTTCTGTAGAGATTACAAATTTTTTGATTGATGTAAGAATATATCTCAGAACCCCATAAAGTAAACATTTATTGACCCAATAACTCCTGTTAATATTGATTTAACATATACAAATAAGCTAACCTGGAGAATGCAACATTTGTCTTGATAAGTAAATTTCCTCCTCTAGGCGGGAGTACCTACTGCGGTGACTATTTCTATGCATTATATCTAATTCACCATCGTCACTTAAACTCGGCACACTTCCTTCTTCACCGCTTTGTATCTCTCCAGCTTCGGGGCCTGACAAATCTTCCGAACTTACATCAGAATATTCAACTAATGGTTTGGATGGACCTATGGAATTACTTGGTGAGCCGTTTTCATCTCTATTTCTACGTTTTTTAGATTTCTTAGATTTATCCTTAGTATGTTTTCCATGTCGACTCTTTTCCATTTTAAGAATTAATATTTACAACCCAGCACATAGTATATAGTGCTGGTTTGCCTGAAGGCAGTAGAGTCCTAGGAAAAGTCCACATACTCAAAATTTGATTGAATAGAGATTTTATTTGGTTATGTTGACATTAGGTTGGCATGCATGTTTGAGGAACCATCACCAGAGCTGATAGCCACTTTGCACTCAATTTTAAAAGCAAAATGATTAAAATGCGATTAGTTATTTCGGCCACAGACAAAAAAAAATGTTTGCGAAATTAGGATTTTTCATGAGTTGTGTTAATTTGACGTCCGTGACCTTGAACAAATGAAATGATAATGGCGATTTTGTGGTGATGTTTTGGGTGGGTCAAAATGTGGTTACTAAGCAAATTTGCAGTACAGCGACATTAAACATACTGAGAAACGATAAACCACTTACCTAGATATTGAAAAACTAAAAGTCCATACTTCCGCACACACTGACGCACCTCACAACACTTATTTCAAAACAAATTTCGGGCCATTTCAGATACCCCCTTTTCCTTGTATTTTCTGGTCTTTATCTCAATTTTTCTCAGTAATACTTATTCAACTATTTAATTCTGACTATAGAGAATGTTTTTTATTAATACATAATGTATGATGTAGCATAGGTCATGAAAAAATTTAAGATTTTGATTGTTATCGATACCGATCCTGACAACCAACAGGACGCCATTTTCTTCGTAATTTGTTTTCGATTTGGCATGCGTCATCACGTCCCCACCACCCTTGTACACGGATTTCGTGGCAGAATATTTTAAATATTTCCAATTTTCTCCACGTTACATTGTTCAAGTGACTGGAAATAATGTTTTTAAAGTTAAAAAAACAACTATTTTATAGTTTTTTTCTGAGCAAAGCGTAATATTAATTAAAATTAGAAACAATAAAAATAGCGGCATCTATGTTGGAGGAATTTTAATTGCGAAATCATGAAATTAGGCAATTAATTTTCAGATAAGATTTGCTGGGAATAGATTAAAATTTAACTTTGCAGTAAAAGTAATATTAATAAAAAATTATGAATATATCTAATAACCGTATTATTTACGATTTTTTATATAAATTTGAAGAAAAAATAGCGTTGATTGAAATTACAGGTTTCTATTAAATAAATCAATGTCCCTGACAAAATCTCGGCAACTACCCAAAAGATGACACTGTATAGAAAAAATGGAATTACCCTTACCTACCACTAGATGGCGCATGTTTCATTTCTTTTGATGGGTTTTCCTGAACATGCAATAAAATTTTAAAGAAAATTGTTTTATTAGCATTAATTATTTTGGATTCATGGTATAGGCATATTAAATTTTCATTATTTTTTTTTTAATATACAGGGTGGCTCAGATTGTAATTCATGGCCTGCTGTGATTATTTTTAGGATCTATTCTTGAAAAATCACAGAATTTTCTTTATCAAAAATTTGGTTACAGTCTTAAAACTGTACTATCTCAAACTCAGAAATGTAATCTAGTGAATTTCTGAAAAATCCGAAAATAAAAAAAAATGGATCATCGTAATTGGTTTAGCAAGTATAGAACGTCCCAATAGATAATAGCTTTAAAATTTTAGGGGTAATAATATTCATCAGTAGAATGCTAATTTGAAATATTTTTTTGTCTTAGTCCACTTAAAACTTGTTTTTTAAATTGCGTTTAAACTCTATCTACGACAGACATTCAAATGTTTTTAAAAAACTAATAATTTCTGCATGATTAATTGTAAGTAGATTCAATTTATTATTTGAAATAATTATTTTCATTTTTTATAAAATATACATAATAAAAATAAATAAAAATACAAATCTAACGGATTTGAAATATTTTTTAAAATCATTTCAAGTTTCAACTTTGTTGCTATTTTTTTGAAAGCACTGTATTTAGTTTGTGAATTTCTCAGAGACTTCTGAACTAGTTTCAGTGAACTACACAATATCAATCCACCTGACGTGATATGACAACAGCATGTTGCGGGCAAAAAAACAAACTGTCACGTTAATTCGACGAAATGAGGATGGCTAAATATATCACAGCTTCATTTCATTACATTTATTTTTGTTCTCAGCTTATCAGTTTATGAGGAAGAGTGTTTGAATAAGGTAATTAGGTAATTTCGCATCTATCTGTGTAAAGTATTATTTTTCACTGAAATTGAAATAGAATTTGTATGGCGTTTAACTAATTTTAATTTTATAGTAAAATTTAAAGTTATTTATTGACACTACGATGTGTTTGTGTGTCTTCATTGTTAAATTTCCATGTGATATGAACCAATAAAAATACATAAAATGTGCAAGAAATGCACATTATTATCTTCTATCTATTAAAATATTATCTTGGAAACAGCTGATTTTTAACACTTGGTACCTATTATGAAAAAGTTGCTTAATTCTTTGTAAAATATAAGAATTCACTCAAATACAGGGTGTTCCATTTTAAAAAATTCAACTTTGGTCAGCCCTCCGAAAAAGAATCACCCTCTATAACACAAATTATTCTTAAAATGTGCATTTTTTGTCTCCCTACTCGAACCTATTTTGAAATATTTTGCCTCAATTATATTCTAACGATAAATCAACTTTGCCACAGCATTGACTCACCCTGTATATATATTTAAGTAACTTACCTCAAGGTTGAAATCGTCGATCAGTAGTTTTTTTAAATGAAACAATTTTGTTTGTAATTTGTTTTATTAATAACAATATTTTACAAATGTTTCTGTTAATGGTATAAAATCTCTAAATTGTCACCGATAGATTCAAAAATAGTCAAAAAGTATTTGAGATCACATTGCGAATTTTGTGCTGTAACATTTTTCTGCGTACTTTTCAGGAATGTCTTATAAAATTATTGCATTTCCATATACGTATTTATATGAGTAACACGCTAGTACAAAACATATTTGATATACATTAAATTAAGCTTATCTGTCGATACTAACTATATTTACATTCACTTTAAATAAAAATTTATGATAATCACATTTTTTCCTTATATAATACAATATTTCGGGAGTATTCGTCTAATATACAGGGTGCGCACTACTATTATATAGTCTTACGATCGGAAGATTTCAGAAAGATCAATCACTTCGAGAACCTTACAAAATTGTACAAAATCTTGCCTGTATGAGTAAACTTAAAAGTTTTAAACTTTCCGTTACTTGTCATGGTTGATATAAAATTTAAAAAAATGAAATACATTGGCTCGCCCACGGCATACAGGGTGTTTCGGGGTTAATTGTCGAACGTAACATTTGAATACGTTGAAATTTGAAAAAATTTCTCGTTTTGTAAAAATAACGTTTGGCCTAGTGATGATGAAACTTGAGCTCAAGATTTATTTAAAGATAAAAATTCATTGAATTCGGATATAAATACGTTTACCGGCGGTGGAGATGCAGGGAGCCACAAAGCATTCCCGAAATTTACCGTCACTAGGTTTTCTTGAAGTTATTAATTTTTTTAACTTACATTACCGTTACCAAGCATTAAAAAAAACACAGCTAGAACTGTATGTTTAAAAATATTATTTCGAAAACAATATAATAATCGTAAAGTAAAAAAAAAAAATAAAAAATACAGACGTAGTAAAAAATGCAGAATTTCATTGACAAATATTCCTTCAGGCTTTTTCTGGATTACATTATATTAAAAATATTTTTACAAAAAAAAATTCTATGACCTTTTTTGTGAAACAGGTCTAACATTATTTTAATGTTAACGAAGCGCTTGGTAACAGAACAATTTTAAAAAAGAAATAACTAGAAAGTGGTTAGTTTTTTGAATAAACTGAATTTTTTTTCAGAAAAATATTAGGCGTTATAGTGACTCCCAGTATCTACAGTGCTGGTAGACATAACACTTCACGCAATAAGTTCATACGATGACATACAGATGGCGCCACTATTGGTGTACTAACCTTCAAATGATACATGTCAAAGTTTCATGACAATCTGACGTTTAGTTCACAAGTTACACTGGTTTTAGTGACGCTACTGTTGCAATTTTGAAATCAATGGAAAAATCTGTGTTTCGTGTGTTATTAAAGCATTGTTTTTTAATGGGAAAAAGTACCGTTCAAGCAAGGCAATAGCTTGACGAGTGTTATTCGGAGTCTGCTCCATCGAGACAAATGGTAGATAAGCGGTTTGCTGATTTTAAACGTGATCGTACAAAATACTGATGACATTGATTTTTTATCCGAATTCAGTAGATTTTTACTTTTACAGTTTTAAATAATTAAATCATTAGCCGAATATCCATCTCTCAACACTAAAAATATTCGGAGTTATTTTATACAACGTGATTTTCATCTCTGTATCTTAGACCAGGGTGCATCTGTTTTAGGTGGATGTGAGAGGCTGCAAGCTAATTTTTTCTGGATTACCGTCAGTACAACTCACATAATAAAAGTGTAGATCCCTAGATCCGGGCGAGGTCCGGAACATTTTCAAATTTGCAAAAATGTTTAAAAAAATTTAAAAAATGCTTAGTTTTTTACTTATATCTTGAATCCTATGCATTTTGGAAGAATATTGAAGAGGAAAAAAAGTTTTAGAATTGAATTTTGCACAATATACTGTGTTAAAAATGTTTAAATTTATTACCGATGTTGCAAAATAGCAATAATTGTTGAAAAAAAGGCAAAATAATCAAGGTTTTTGGATAATTTTTTAAAAATATTTTAATTGCTCTGAGAGCATTTTAATTTTGGTAAAAAAAACTTTAGAATATAATAAAACAAATTTCATTAAAATCAGTTCGATAATTTTGACAATAATTTTTTGAAAAATTTTTTTCGAATTTTCAAAATGTTGCACAGCCTCAAATAAAGTATCAAGATACTTGAAAATTTTTTCACATAGAAAAGACCCTCGACCTTTCAAACGGTTCTTGAAAAATTGAAATCGGTTGATTAAGACGGCCACAGTAAATTTTTCAAGTTAATGCTCTTTTTTTTATTTTTAAACAATTAGATTACGTTTAACAATTTGCAATTGTTTTTTTCAAAAATTAAAATTTTAAAGTACTATTTTTTCTATCTGTATTTAACAAAAAAATTAATTTCCAGATAAATTAACGGTAAAAGCTGATAAACTCTGACTGCTTATATCTCAAGAACCAATAAACAGAATTTAACTTTTTTTTTTAAAGAAGCGTCTTTCCGAGTTCTCTAAAATTCAATTTTTCAAAAACCATTTGAAAGGTAGAGCGGTCTTTTCTGTGTGAAAAAATTTTTAAGTATCTAGATGCTTTATTTGCGGCTGTGCAACATTTTGAAAATTCGAAAATTTTTTTTCAAAAAATTTACAAAAACTATTGAACCGATTTTAATGAAATTTTGTGTATCGTTTTAGTATACTATAAAGTTTTTTTTTACCAAAATTGGAATGCCCTCGGAACTATTAAAATATTTTAAAAAATTATCCAAAAAAACTTGATTATTTTGCCTATTTTTCATCAATTATTGCTATTTTGCAACATCGGTAATAAATTTAAACCTTTTTAACTTACAGTATATTGTGCAAAATTCAATTCTAAAACATTTTTTCCTCTTCAATATTCCTCCAAAATGCATAAGTTCCAAGATATAAGTAAAAAACTCGGATAAAATAGGTATTTTTTAAAATTTTTTAAACATTTTTGCAATTTTGAAGATGTTCCGGACCTTGCCCAGATCTAGGGATCTACACTTTTATTATGTGAGTTGTACTGACAGTAATCCTAAAAAAATTTGCTTGCCCGCTCTTACATTCAAGAAGTGGGATATTTCGACAGATCCGCACGCATTTCTGGAATATTTTTCAGATTTTGTTTAATATTTTGACCATCCCAATTCGAGTTTTGCCAATTAACGTGAACACCCAGTACACCTACAATTTGAAACCATTGAAATATCTAAAGAAATGCACAGTGTGTGTAAAAATACATCTGGACTTTGCACACTAGTTATTCGCCTGAAAATCTGTCCACTAATAATTGCTTTATATAATTTTTCTCATTTAAATCATGCGAAACACCACTAGTGCTCTGATTTGATACTGTCCGTTCTTACACGCACTGTGCCCCGCGATTTGCGTGCATAAATAAACTCTGCCGATTGTCCCTCGTAATATAATCTCGTTATTTACACTTCCATCTCCTCCAACGTTTTCGATAATCTATTGTTATCGATCCGCCTCCTCTGACTCCTCCTAACCGCGTCCGCCCTACGGTAAGGCTCACTTTTAAGTCCCAACAAAATGTCTTCCAGAGCACCGTTGTACACTTCATCTTGATGAAGCAACTTCTTCTCTTGCACCAGTCTTGTTTTAGTTTTAAGTTCATTTATCACAGCCTCCTGTTAATATTTCACTCGGTTTATAAATTTTTCAAATGGGGGTGATTAATTTTAGTTTTTGTGTTTGTGCATTACATGTGTGGCAGCTAAACAGAATTAGTTTCTTTTTGCTAGGTAAGCAGAGTGAGCAGTGGAAGGGGGTTAATTTTGTCACTAATTCATACTGTGATAAGTTTTTTGAGTAGCGTTTTTACAAGTTTAAGTTGGCTTATTTGTGAATTTAATCTTCTAGTATTTTAGCCAAAAAGTTTGGCAATTTTGGAGGCTGAAAATATGAAATAACAAAGATAGATTCACTCCATATATATATAACTCTCAAGCTACTGTCATGCCAATAAAACACACTTTAGTCACAGTACATCGAAAAATTATGCTCAAACTTACGACACTCCGTTTGTTATTTCAAATTAATGCGATTAGTAATTCGTAAAATAACACAAGGGGTTAATACTGGCGGGGGGAGTAATTTCTAGAAATAACTTTGCAGTTTCCGAAAATATTCGAAATAGCAATTCTGTTTTGTCTGAAAATTTTGTAATTTCAGGAAAAAGGAAAAACCATTTTAAAAAATATGCGAACGTACAGGGTATCCTTATTAATAAGTGACATTAACATAATGAGTAATCAACAAATGATCAAATATTTTTTTTTATTAAATATATCCGAAGGACGTAGATGCTTGGAAGTTTTAACTGCTTCAAAATAGCAAATCATGAGCCTACTACGTTTTTGGTGCCAATTTTTTATTTTAGATTTAACAATTTTTTTGATACAAAATTTTATAACATGATGTTTCAGTCGGAATCTGTTTCGGCCTCTGAAAAAGTTGTGTATAATTGTTAGCGCAAGAAAATGTAAAAAAATTTTGAACAAAGGCGCATTTTCTCAATTCTTTCATGTATAACTCGGAGAATATTGACGTTAGAGAAAACAGTCAAAGCAAAAAAAGTTTCGTTTTGAGATTCTCTTCAAAATAAAAGTGGTCCGAAATTTTTATGTGCATTATTGTTGCTGCAATACAGTATAGACCGAAAAAAAAATTCGTGAAAAAAAATGTTTTTTTCATTAATTTATTTCCGACCTTGACTTTAGAGCAGCCATATAAAAAGTATGGTTCTGAGTACTTCATGATATGGTAGTATTGCAGAAATTTTTTCATCGAAATCGGCGGGGTAGATTTCGCACAATTCAATTGTTAATTAAGAAAATACAGAATTACACTTATTTTTCAATTCTCTCCCACGGTAAAACCCATGATTATTTTGAGCTTTCAATTTTTATACATAACTTTTGGAGTCTCGATTATAAATCCCCATTTAAAAATTTTCGATCTTATGCATTTTGCAGCAATTAGAATTTATTCAATATTTTTTCGAAAAAATACTTATAAACAGTTAGAGCTGGAGCTAGAGTAGTTACAAAATCTCATGAGCTGCGAAATGCGTGAAAGGTGTGGCGCATAATTCGCGTATCCGCATAATTCTTCTAATAAGCACGTTGTGAAAACATTGACTCAGAATTAGACCACGTGCCTCATTACAACCAGAAATGAAGTAAGGCGCTCGGGCATCAATAAAGTCAACTGGCGAACGTTCTTATATATATTTCTATTGCTTATATTAAAATAATAAAGAATAGGGCATTTTCTTATGGTTGTAATCGGATCAAAGGCTTGTTTACGCCAAGAGAGCTTGAGATAGACTGTGAATAATAGATATTATGTTTTTAGGATGTAGAATAATTTAGGCGACGGTCGGAATTATGTTTCTGCGCATATAAAGGTCAAAGCTCATAAGACTCTGAAACAACTTTACCATATTTGCATATTCCTCAAATGTAATTATAGGATCAATAGGCTATTGATTATGTCTTAAAAAGCAGGGTACTAAGGAACTACAACGTTGATGGGTTTTTATTGCATGAATCGCTCAGACGGTTATTCAGAAAGAAAAAACCCAGAAGTGCTATTAAATTAGAGGGTGGAAATTGGAGATAGGGTTGAAAATGCAACCCTTACGGTTTTTTGAGTATATCTTGAAAACGAAGCAAAATGTGAGGGTATTGCATAGGAAAATTTTTGTAGATAATGATATTTTCTATCGAAATAGTTTATTTAAAAAAATTTTAAAATTTATTTACTGCAAAATATATTAAAAACAATTTAACAAAAAAATTTAAAAAATTCAATTTTTTGTTTATTTTTACTTTTATGCAAATAACTTTTTTCTGAGCCGAGATAGGTATAGGCATTGCTTCATAGAAAAAAAGTATATAAAGTTTCTTTCCAAACAAGAGGTTGTAGAGTATTTTTGGATGAAAATTGACTGATATATGGCGGCTTAAACTTAGCCAATTTTTCGATTTTTGTCGCATTTACCCTTATACCTTTTAATTCTCATTTTTTGCAAAAAAGGAAGGAAATAAGACGTTCAAGGATTTTCATCACATGACTTGTTCGAAGCGTCATTAAAAATTAAAAAACCGCGGTGTGCTATTAAATTAGAGTTGAAATTGAAGATAGGGGGTGAAAATGCACATTGCAGTTTTTTAAATATAGCTCGAAAACGAAGCAAAATTTCGGTATAGTTCATGGGAAAAATTTTGTAGAGAATTGAATTTCTCATCGAAATGGCTTATTTGAAAAATGGAAAAGGAAAACTTTATGCAAAAAATCGTTAATAAACAATTTTAAAGAAAGCAAAAATAAGATTTTTTGATTTTTTTTTACTTTTTTAATAAAATAATTTAGTAAAAACTTGAGAATTTAAGTACAATAAAGTTTATTAATAACGTATATACAGTGTGTCCACGGATGGAGTTACCAAGAGCGGAAACTCTTTTGTTTTTGATTTACTCGAAAAATGTCACTCTTTACAAAAAGTTCTGCCCTTAGATTAGATATATAGGGTGCTCATAAATTAAAAAAAAAACACGAAAATACTCAAGAGAGAAGTACCATTATTTATTATTTTATACAACATTTTTATAAAACAAATCTCTTTATAACCTCAAATAATGTCCTAATACAAATTTCCAAATCAAAATTTCAATTTTTGAGGTGGGAAGTAGCTATACATATTAGTAAAAGTCAGAATTGGAATTTTTATTTTAAAATTTGTAGTAGGACATTATTTGAGGTTATAAACAGATTTGTTTTATAAAAATGTTGCGTAAAATAATAAATAAAGGTACTTCTCTCTCGAGTATTTTCGTGTTTTTTTTAATTTATGAGCACCCTGTATATCTAATGTAAGATGTTTGTAGGGCAGTCTCATTTTTTTGAGAGAGAACTTTTTATAAAGTGACATTTTTCGATAAAGTCAAAAACAAAAGAGTTTCTCCTCTTGTCAACTCCATCCGTGGACACACTGTATATACATTATTAATAAACTTTATTGTACTTAAATTTTCAAGCTTTTACCAAATTATTTTATTAAAAAAATCTTATTTTTTGCTTTCTTTAAAATTGTTTATTAACGATTTTTTGCATAAAATTTTCCTTTTACATTTTTTAAATATGCCATTTTGATGAGGAAATTGTCTACAAAATTTTTCCTATGAACTATATCGAAATTTTGCTTCGTTTTCGTTTTAAAAAACTGAAAGGGGTGCATTTTCACCCCTATCTCCAATTTCCACCCTCTGATTTAATAGCACTCCACGGTTTTTCATCTAAAATGACCCTTTGAACGATTCATGCAATAAAATTGCTTGCACGTCATAGTTCCTTTTAACGCTGCTTTTTTGGATATAATCAATAGCCTAAAAATGCGTCCTTTTAAAAATTTTTTTTATATTTTCTTGCGTTAACAATTATGCGCAACTTTTTTTTATCATTTTACATAATACTTAGTAGAACTATTTCCAACAAACGTCCATACAACCTACTTTTAAAACAGATACCGAGTGGACTAGATATTCTATACCCAATTTCTGTAAAGATAGTTCATTTTAAAATTTCATATTCCTCAACTCCCAATCACGCTTATAAATCGGGACACCCTGTATATATTGTACCCTGTATATACCTTTAGGCACAAATCTATGGATAATAATAAATGTTTCTCTAGGAATTCACTGCAAAATTTTTCTAGAATCACAAAGGTTAGAAAATGGAAAATGTTGCTGCTCATTTTTAATTATGATGCTTTATAGACAGAATTATTTAAATTATTAAAGCAAATACTTTTCTATAAAACATCATTTAAAGAAAGAAGCGGAAAGTTAATGAAAATTATAAAGTAAATGTTAGAAAATGTTTATTTACAAATAAAATGGAAATACAAAAATAAAGCATAGATGCAAGTGCAGTTTCTTAATAAAAGTATGTTTTTAAGTTAAAATTACGTATATACATAACAAAAAAAAATCAATAAATATAAAACTTAAAACATAAAAAAAGAACAACGGTTAGTCACTATGAAATTAGTTGGATGACTAGAGGGATGTGAAAACGAAAAGCCACTACTATACGTTATACCACCAGCTTAGAGAGCCCAGTATTTCTAAGGATGCAGCTATTTCTCTGAGCAGAAATCAGTTCACAAAGAAAAATGTCTTTGCCGATACATACCTGCTGTTTCTTCTGGTTGATCTTGTTCTTTTTCGCTACGTCCTCGTTCGTTTTGCTGTGGGCGTTCTGCGCCGCCAGCTCTAACCTTCTCCTCTGTTCATTTTCCTGATCTGCTGTCTAAGAAAACAGAAAAAGAACAACTGTAACAACGGGCCTTTCTAACAATAAAAAAAATATTTTGGCCTCAACGCTTGATGATAATGATGATGATGATGATGATGATGATGATGACGACGAGGATAATGACGATGATAATGATGAGGAAGATGTTGTTCATGATGAAGATGATGAAGATGAAAATGATGACGATGAAAATGAAGATGATGAAAATGATAATGAACATGATGATAATGAGAATAAGGATGATAACAATAATGTTGATGATGAAAATGATGACAAAGATAATATTGAGGATGACGATGTTGTTCATAATGACAATGAAGTAGATGATGATGATGATGATGATGATATTCATAACAATGATGACGATGACAACAATAATGACGAAAATGGTGACACTAATGAAAATGAAGATGATGAAAATGATAATGAGGCTGACAATGACTATGACAATGATGATGATGATGGTAACGATCATGATTACGATGACGATTATGTTACGTTCATGCAATATTTGACTTTTTTACATCATCAGTAATTTATGTCGTGTCGAAATAATGGCAAACAAACTTTTAACACACTGTAAATAAGAAATTCAGTGAAGTTAAATAGGTATACATGTGTTATACGTTCCTGAAAAAAAAAATCGTAAATGACAACTCAGTTTTATGACGGAATAACGTCGATGTGCAGAATTAGTATTGGTAAGCGCGGTAACCACAATGCAACTTTTTTTTGTTTAAATTAAAATGCCCTCGAAATAGGTTGAACAAAGTTGTAATAATGAAAAATAACCACCAGAAGTGACATATTATGGGACTCCATCTGTATAAAACGGTAAAAGTGCATTCCACACCAACTCGACCACTTTTAACACTTTTGATTTGGCTGAAACTTTTTTATTACCCCCATTGAAAACCTCTTGAGAATTTTTTCATCCAACTCAAAAAAAAATATGATTTTTGATAAAACTTTTTCAAAAATTGAGTTATCGGGACGTTTTTTTTTCAAAATTTTTGTTTTTAAATGTACGTTTTGAAAAAAAATATATCAAAATTATCTGGACCTATCTTGTTTTATTTTCAATTTTCGAAAAAAAAAAAATTCTCAGTTTGCCATTTTTGAAACTTTTTGTTTTTTTCTTATAAAAAGCTGACATTTTTTATAAATCCTCAAATATTTCGTTTTCTATTTTTTTTTTATTTCAATTTTTTTTTTTATTTAGCTTATTTCACATAACAGTAACACCATTGAGAACATTTTTAAAAACGTATATAGAATCCCAAAATTGAAAAAAAATATATGAAAGAAATAACTGAAAGTGGTAAACATGAAAATAATTTCGATTTTTTTTGAAAAAGTTAAGAAAAAATAGATCGTTTTGAATAATTTTTTGTATTTTTTTCGAAAACTACATCCAAAAACAAAGAAAATGAAAAAAAAGTTATTTGGTCCAATTTTGGTCAAAGAGGACTAAAAAAAGACATGCAACGCATTTGAACTCAAATAAATCATTTTGAAACCATCGTCTTGATTTTTTGAAATTGTCATCAATCGCTGCATAGAATAAATTTTTTCAATTTTGGGATTCTATATACATTTTCAAAAATTTTCAAAATGTGAAATAAACTAAATTTGAACAAAAATTTTTTTTCAATCAATAAAAAAAACTAGAAAACCGAAAAAACCACTAAAAAAATTTGAGGATTTATAAAAAATTTCATTTTTATAAGAAAAAAAAAATTTTCAAAAATGGTAATCATCGAGAAATTTTCGTTTTAGATGGGTCCAGATAATTTTGATCTATTTTTTTTTCAAAAAGTACATTTAAAAACAAAACTTGAAAATAAAACGTCCCGATAGCTCAATTTCTGAAAAAGTTATGGTTATTTAAAAAACGCAATTTTTTTCAAAAATTCAAATTTTTTTTTGGGTTGGGTGAAAAAATTCTCAGAGGTTTTCAATGGGGTAGAAAACAATAAAAAAAGGTTCAGCCAAATCGAAAGGGGTTAGGGTTACTTAAAAGTGGTCTATTTGGCGTGGAATGCCCCTATATCATTCACATAAATATTTGATATATTCTTGAAAAAAGTCACTCCAAATCAAGTTTCAACATTTAAAAAGATAATTAGCAATTTTGATATTTTTTGGCTAAAAAAAATCCCTAGAACCGCAGAAAAAATCTACAAATTGGCAACATGGCATGGTTGTGCTCGGGCATACTTTCATAGCATAGCATAGATTTCCAGACTTACATACATCCACCAAAAAATAATCTGCACAGACCTACCTTAAATGCTTTAACAAATCTCACGAGCAAAGAGAAGAAAGTATTGGCGTCGGTGGTCCTGGGCGACTCGGCAAAGTACTCCACGCACTCCCTAAACGCTTCCTGAGCCATCTTTGAGTCACTTTTCAGTCTCCTGAGCTTGTCCTCGGCGTTTGCCAGGAAATCTCTCACGACCAGGCTATGGCTACCCCTTCCGCGGATCTCCGCCTCCTTCCTAACTGCCTCCATGCCCTTCTCTAGTTCAGTCACATCAGTGTTGATGTTTTCCAGAGAAACTGAAATTGCAAACGTTGCCTTGTAGATATTAATTCAGTGAAATGATGTGTAACAATCATTTATAAAGTCACTGTAGATTGTTATTACAAAATGACGACTATTAATATGTTCCTAATCCACGGTGAATGGAAGCGAAATGCTGTAGACGCATCACATCGTTAAACAGTTCATCGCGTAAATGCCAGTTTTATCCATTTCATATTCGTACTAAGGCTTTGTAACCCCAAGATCATCCTGCGGGTCTTTGACATTTTTGATTTTGTCAAAATAACGATAAGAATTTTACGAACCGCGTTTCAGTGGCGCACGAGGCTACGTTTACACAGACGAGTAGTGGAAAAGAAAAAGATAGTCGACTTACCCACAGCAGCTTTCTCTATATAATGGAGTTCGGCATCGAAATTGAGCAGTTCCGGGAACTTCTGTCTTATCGTCGCCACTATGTAGTGCAGCAGACACAGACGCTTGTCCGTCGACTTCGTGTCCAGCAAGGTGTCCAAAGACTGCAGTTTGAAACCGTAAGCCGGCCCCCTTTTGCTGCTGTTCAGGTAATTGCCAAACGCCAGGATTATTTCGAGGACAGATCTGAGTTTTCTCGAGTTCTTCACGGAATTCGATCCCGAGATTATCGCGTGCACTTGCTGAAAATAAAAAAAGTGGATTAGATTCGCAACAATTTAATTTGTTATACACTTACAGGGGTTACTAGATGTAGGTTATCGAAAAAGTTTCCAATGTAGCTCATTATCGACAGTTTGGCCGATATCCTCTCCACCTTCGTGAGTTGCAACAGGAACTTGTCTTCTTCGGTCAATAAATTAACGTTCTTCTTCTCGATGATGTACTCTCTGTACGTCTTGCTCTCTTGTTCGGAAGGTACCATTCGCTGAAGCAATTCAACGTTTTCCAGAGAAAGTTGCTTCAAGTCCAACATGTTTATCGCGTTTATCACTTTGTCAGGCGTCATTTCCAACTTTCTCCTTGATATAGCTGAAAATTAATATTTTGTAATTAAATATCCAGTATTTAGACCGATCAAAATAACTCATTTAGAGGGGAAAAAAAGAAAATTGTTACTTGGACTTTTATAAGCAGAAATGGTAAAAATTGTACCATTGAGATTTCTGACGAAAGTTGATGTCAGACATAAAAGTATCTGATACAAAAATTATAGATCATGCAAAAATCTACAACTTTTGTAGAAGCAATGTTTTAACATTACCTCAAAATTTCCAAGAAAAATGCGAAAAACCAGTTTTTTTTCTGATTTTTCGTTTTTTATTTCTCATTTCCGCAAAAATAATTTAATTTTGATGAAACTTGGTGAATGTATACCTTTGTCTGTCTTAAATAACCTCAAATTTGTTTAGATAAAAAAATCAAGAAGTTTCTGATATATTCATTTTTTTCAGCCTGAAACACTTTTTTTTCAAAGAAAAATTCTACTCAAAAAAATCATCGTACATAGTTCTGCCATAATAATTTTTTTTGTTTTGACATATACTTTTTGGTGAAATAAAAAAATTTGTAATCACAGTTCAAAAATATGCTCAAAAATGCAAAAAAGTAAAAAATGACTTGCAGCAATGAATTTTTCAGTAATTGTTGATAATTTGTTTAAATTAAAAAAAAATAAAAAACTGACTACACCATTCAATTGTACAGAAAAAATACAAAACAAAACTGTCTCATTGTTTGACCCAAAACCATTTTTGTACAGTAGTGCAATAAGTCGAATAGTGAATAAATAAAATAAATAATAATTTTTTTTCCATAGGATCGTTTAGTGTACTTATTTTTTTTAAAGTTTGACGAATTCAGATATACAGTGTGTTCAAGATAAGGATGGGATAGCATTAGGATCTAGGAAATGGTATGAGATACGGGGTGGCTCAGATTAGAAAAAAGTTGTGTTTTCTTATACCTAACAATATGCTGTTTATAAAGTTTTAAAATTCCGGGTAGTTCCGGAGATATCCGGAAAAACCCGAAATTTTGCAAAATTGTTTAAATTAATTTTTTTAAATACGTCGCTGCTATTTTTATGACAAAATCTAGTCAATTTTAATTCTGAATTAGAGGATATTACTATTGTAACTGCTTAAAAAGTTTTTAGCTCTTTTTAGCTATAATATAAAATTTTTCTTGAGTACGGCTCTGAACTAACTAGAAATAATAAAATATTTCATAAATTCATATTATTTTTTATTAGGTACAACTTTTTATATTATGGGTTAAAAAAATTGTTGGATATTTTGTGCTGTATTGACTTTTATTCTCTCCTTTCTCTCTCTCTCTTCCAATAGATACAGGAATTTTGAAAGCGTTCAGAGCCGTACTTAGGAAAATTTTTTAATGATAGCTAAAAACCTTTTTAAGCGATTACAATAGTAATATCAGCTAATGCAGAATTTAAAATAGCAGTGATATATTTAAAAAAATTAATCTGATGAGGGCCCCTCGAAGACGAAACGTCGGATTGCAAAAATGTTGACGGCATTGGATACAGCAAAAAAAGTGGTAATGTAAATATGCAATTTATTTAAAATTTATTTTCAAAGCCAGAAAAAAATAAAACGATTTCGCAAAATTTCGGGTTTTTGGATTTCGCGTCAACAGTAGACTTTGCAGCGAATACTTTGTATCGCTGAAATCTCAAATCATCCAGAGATAATTTATCATTTGTACATTTGTAATTCGACTTTTATGTTTATAGTTTTGAATGTTTTTTAATTTAAACAACTTATCGATAATAACTGAAAAATTCATTGTTGCAAGTAATTTTTTACTTTTTTGCATTTTTGAGCATGTTTTTGAACTGTTATTAAAGATTTTTTTATTTTGCCCAAGAAGTAAATGTGAAAACGAGAAAAATGATTAGCGGCAGAACTCTGTATGATGATTTTTTTAAGTAGAATGTTTCTTTGAAAAACAAGTGTTTCAGGCCGAAAAAAATTAATATCTCAGAAACTTCTTGATTTTTTTATCTAAACAAATTTGAGGTTATTTAAGACAGAGAAAGGTATATGTTCACCAAGTTTCGTCAAAATTAAATTATTTTTGCGGAAATGGGAAATAAAAAATGAAAAAAAACAGAAAAAAACCTGTTTTTCGCATTTTTCTCGGATATTTTGAGGTTATGTTAAAATGTGACCTCTACAAAAGTTGTAGCTTTTTGCATGATCTACAACTTTAGTATTGGATACTTTTTTGTTTGACGTCAACTTTCGCCAGAAATCCCAATGATACAATTTTTCATAACTTTTCAACCCCCCCAAATCAACCCTCCGCTGCCCCTGCTCACGCATTTATTTTTTTTAGGTTTATTATAAGCACTTTTACCATTTCTACTTATAAAAGTCTAGGTAACAATTTTTTTTTTCTCCAAGTGTAATTTGGTTGGACTAATTTTAATGAATGTTTGCACAGTAAATTATTTCGACACATATATTACAAACACCCTGTGGATCATAGAAAATATAAATAGTTTATTGCAAAAATTAATTAGTGAACGTACAAATTCGTGTTTATAGCAAAAATACACTCACCAATATTCCTCAATCTCGTGTGCTCCAACAGCGTAACATTCTCCGGCTTCTTGAACCTCTTGCTCGGGAAAGTGGACAGCCCGTCCGTTTCGCTCATGCCGTTCGACAAAACATTGGCGCTGCCGATCTTGAACCTCTCCTCGAAATCGTTGAAATCTATGTGGCCGTGCAGCTTATCGTCGTCTAATTCGTTAAAAATCGTCCCCCTGACCTGATTAGGTTTCAGCGCTATCCAGTTGATCGTGGGTAGTTTGTACTTGGTTTGGACTTTCCTCTTTATCGTCATGGCGCCGTCGGGAGCCTGCATGAAACCGGCAGGCGGCGGCGGAATAGGTCCCGAGGAAGGTTTTGCGGGTGGCGGAGGAGGACAAGGTGGTGGCGGCGGAGCTGCGGGTGCGGGGGGAGGACACGGGGGAGGTGGTGGCGCTGATTCGGCTTTGCTGGGCGTCGAGGTGGCGCCAGGTACTGTCGGGGGCAGGTCTGAGATGCCAGACACTGGAAATATAATGTAATTACAGTTTTTTTTTATAGGCACTGTAAACAAGAAGTAAAAAAAAATTAAAGAGAAAATTTACATACAGGGTGACCCATGAAGAATGGAAACCCTCGCGTACAAAAGTCATTTATGGACCGATTTGAACCGGTTTTTTTTTTAAAGATAGATCTCCAAAAGCTCTATATTGATGCAAAATTTGAAGTCGAAATTTTGATTTTCAAGGCCTACTACGAATTTTTTTTAAGTGAAATATAGCAAAATTTTGTTAGCGATTTTTTTATAAAAAATCTGACTACACCACTGGATTTAGGAGCCCCTCAAATGCATCTGTGACAGACTCCTTTTTCATTTTTAAAAACGTAATTTTTTAATCATTACTTTTTTTATCAATTGTTGTAATTTGTATCAATTAGAGTAATTGTTTATTTTGTGTATACTGGTTTTTATTGATTCTTATTAATAATTATTAAACCAGTGTTTGTTATTTAATTTTGTTTCCCTCTGGGTTCTATTCGGTTTTTATAAAAGAATATCACCCACCGACAACGGCAAACACTGATGATGCCGATATGTCATAACTTTTTTAGGAGGGAACTTTTTTCGCAAAAATTGGTACAAATGCATTTAAGGGGTTCCTAAATCCAGTGGTGTAGTCAGATTTTTTATAAAAAAATCTCTAACAAAATTTTGCTATTTTCCACTTGAAAAAAATTCGTAGTAGGCCTTGAAAATCAAAATTTTGGAGTTTTTGGAGACCTATCATTAAAAAAAACCCGGTTCAAATCGGTCCATAAACAACTTTTGTACGCGAGTGTTTCCATTCTTAATCGGTCACCTTGTATATGAAATTGTTGAAAACTCCCTTGTCAAATTGTATTGTTTTCATGAGTTTTTAAACAGTAAAATAGTTGAGTTATAATCCGTATTTATTATTTTTTAAAGCACTGTGTTTAGTTTATGAATCTTAGTGCTAATATCGACCCATCTGATGTGACATGACAACTTAATGATTGTTTTGTAATTCTTTTTGAATTATCAAAAAATCTCAGCATGATACAGTCCCAAAGGTATTGAACCGTTATGCATTAATTACACTTCCTAAAATTAGTAATTTTTAAAAACATTAAATTTATTTACTTGACGATCCCCTTGGCAAGCTTTTGACATGCTCGAGCTCAGCAATTTTCGATTCAAACATCGACTGCCTATTCTTGGACTCCTGCTCGTGGTGCTGCACCACCCTCCTCAAAGTCGACACTTCCTCATCGGCCTTCTTCTTAACCTCCACCAGTTCATCTCGCTCTTGTCTCACTTGTATCAACTCAGTTTCTAAGTTCGCAATCTTCTCCAGTGCTCTGTGTTCCACATCTTGCAAACTTTCGTGTAACTACAAAACAAATTCTCTTTAGACCTGACCTTAGATATATTATACGGGAAAAGTTTACTTGTGCCACTTCGTCTTCAAGTTCCGCGACCTTTTCTAAAGCCGCTGTTTTCGTTTCGCTGTCCTCCATCAAAGCGGCTACATCGAACACGTTATCTAGGTAAGCGGAGATTTGAACTTGCAGTTCTTCGCTTTCCGTGAACCGCAATTTGTCCAAGTAGTTGTCGAGACCCAGAGCTGTGAACTCATACTGTAAGTGTACCCTGAAATTCATGTCTTCCACCGAGTGTACTATGATGTTGACAAACTGCATACACGCTACCTAAAACATGGAAATTCACTCGTTAATACGTTTTAATATAAATCAAATGTTTAGTGGTTACCATGAATTCTATATGGAAGACTTCGAAGTTAAGGAAATAGTCCATCAGGGTCTGAAACCTGTGCTCTTCGTTGCAAACCACTTTGAAGTTATCGAAAGCCGATAAGATTATTTCGTGTCCGCCTTTTACTAAACAAATCGCCGCCAGCAATTCCAAGACGAGGGCTTTCGTACGTAAACTTTTGTGTATCAGACTCAGTGATATGCAATTTATCGCTTCTCTGTGTTGGATCACCATATTAAAGCCATACTGGAACACAATAGTTTTTCTTTTAATGATTTGTTTCGCTTGTCTCTATTTTATGATTAACTGTGACAAGTATTTACGTATTTAAAAAATTAAACGAATTGTTTTATTGCCGCTAATTTACCTTATTATTCATAATAGCCCTCATGCACATTATACAGACGTGAATGTCATCCTTCGAGTCACCCATATTCAGCTTGGCTACATGTTTCGACCTTCGTTTTAAGCTAGGACTTCCAGGTATATCCAGGGGCATCCTGATGTAGCCGTTGCTCTTATCGAGACTAATACTGGTCGTGTTTATCGTGCTGTGCCCAGTTTGACTTAGTTTCTCCTCGGATGCTGTTCGAGATTCCGCTATCCTCTGCTCGTGGCGCATCATACCGAGACGGAAGCTTAAATAGTCTATCAGCACGTCTAGGCCGAGGTTTTCTTCGTTCAAAAACTCTCTCACCCATCTACAAAGGGATAATTATAATGTATGGAGTGGAGTGGGTAACTAAGATGATTATATTTCACTAATTTGTTGTACCGGCATGAAAAAATATAAAGGCAGCAAATTTATATATTTTATATACAGGGTAATTCACATAATAATCAATGTTCTTTGTTTTTTTACTCTTCTATCTAGGAAAAAGTGGCAAAATTTTAGGAAATTTAATTCCGACATCCAAGAAATATAAAAAAACAATTGCCTGCTGCATTTCAAAGATATAAACCAAACATTTATTTTTTTTTAACGGAATGCCATGCATATTTTTATTTTTTATAATTGCAGTGATATATACATGTCATATGTTTTGATACGATATTATGCTTTATTTACTGATCCTCCACAATAATAAATAAAGATCTAAGAATTTATATGAACTAAGCGAGAAAATATTGAACGAAGTTAATACTATCAATCAGGAGGGTAACAAAACATTTAAAAAAAGCATGAAATATACAGGGTGATTCACAACTTATCCAAAAAAATTTGGGAATAGATGCGGCATGAGAAATGGAGTCAATATCGTTTGCGAGAACAAAATTATTGAAGTTATAGTACATTCAACCACTACATAGCTGGACAACTGTAGTCTCTAGCGTCAATCTCAATACGCGTGGAGAGCTACGTGGCCTCAGCGACTCCTATTTTGCAATCGTCGTTGCGACAGTGTTTACCTGTTATCTGTGGTGTTTACAATAGTTTTTTTTAGTAATTAGTGTCAAAAATGGTTGGCGTGTATAGCAACTCGGAGTTGATGGATATCGTTTTATTTTATTGTGAAGCAAGACAACATTTGTGTTAGTTCGTGGAAACTGAGTAAGGCGGAACCAAATGTGTTTACACGCTGGTGGATAAAATCTTGAACAAGTGTTGTTGTAACATCGGGTATGTCAAATGATTTTATTATTTAAAAACAAAAATTAATTTTATTAATTAATAATAACAATAAAGGCAAAATCAGTTGAATTTGCCGATATAAAATAGGCGCTATAAAATTATATTTATTTCTTTCCTTGTGAAAGTTTTTTGTCCGTTTTTATCACACCGCCATGCCGGTCGCATTGCGCAGGGTCAGATTTTACAGTGGATCAGTTTCCAGTGCCGTACAGAAGTGTATTTTTAAATCATTTTCGAACTTCCCTTTTTGATTTTTTATTTACAAAATTGTATTTGTAAGGGTCCTCTGTACATCCAGAATTTTTTTTTGGATAAGTTCTGAATCACCCTGTATATTTTTTGTCTAGAATAGGATGAAGGTATAAGAAGGATAAGACATCTTTTATGATAAGATATTTTTTATTAAGAGAATTAAAAAATTTGTTTAGTAAATGTGACAGCAGGAAACATACCCACTCAGTGGTTCCATGGCAATCTTGATTATCGGGATCAGTAAATAAACCAAAATATTGTAGAAACTATCAAAGCAAATATATGACAGGTATATATCATTGTAATCAGAAAAAGAGATGAATAGAAAACATGGCAAATAGGTATCTAGGATTTTCCATTTAAAAAATTAAAAGTTTAATTTGTATCTTTCGAAATGCAAGAGTCAATTTTTTTACATGTTACTTCGAAATTGCAAGAAAATTTCCTAAATCTTTGGCCCTTTTCCTAGATAAAAAAGTAAAAAGAGATAAAGATTATTTTTTTATCTCTAACTAGAGACCGGGTAAAAATGCCACAAGTTAAAATTTCGTCATTTTTGTCCGATTTTAAAGAGCAAAAGACTGGCATCAATTGTTCCAAAAATTTGTATAATTAGAACAAATAACGTTAATCTTTTAACATCGAACCAAAATCAGAGTAATAAACACTTCTTATAAAGCACCCTGTATAAATCTTTTCTGACACAATATCAAATTCTTTGCCAAAAAATATATTTTTAAATGTAGCATTTAAATTAAAATTTAAGATAATAATTTATTCACGAATAATTTTATTTATTAATTTAGTTGAGTTGCACATTTTATTATACACATCAAAACATAAATAATATGATAAAATGAATAATAAAGTTGCACAACAGGTATGTTTTTACTGAGTAATTTACCTCGAAATATATTTTTTTATTAATTGTTTTCTACATCGGTGAAACTCTTGTTGTTTTAATGATTCATTCAAAATTATCTACACATATTACTGATAGACGGTTTCAAAAGTGTAGTGGAAACTCCTTTGTTGATAGATAAAACATAAATATATTTAATGAAATAAGAGGTTTCTAAATTCTTTCTTTTTTTTGGAATACATCGCCTTTTTCATAGGGGTTATTTATTCATTAAAAAATATTTATAAGACGGGAATGTGATATGTTTCAGTTATTTTTATATTCCTGCAAGCTGCTAATTAATTTAACTGTTGATTAATATCCATTGGACAGTATTACAAAAAACTATTATCTTAATTAAACAAGGGTAGAGAAAAGCATGTTTATTTTAGAGGATAAACACACAATAACCTTAGGAATATACATAAAACAACGTTCAATATTATGCATTTAACGCTGATAAGATTTAATACCAATGTAATTGTTTTAACAAAATTTAAATAATGGTAATGGAGTCCAAATAACCATTGAAAATAAAAACTAACCATGAAAATACAGTATTTAGGCCTTTTTTTAAACAAAATGCTGTAAAGTACAGTGCATAGTTAATGTTAACACTCTTTTTTTATTTTTAAACAATTAGATTACATTTATTAATTTGCAATTTAGTTTTTTTTTCAAGATTATAATTTTAAAGTACTTGGAAAGATATTTCTTTTTTAAAAAACCGCCCTGGTCAATTAAGAGATATTAGCAAAGTGAAATATACCGTGGCACAAAAAAGTTTTGGCACTTTAAATGGGTCCTAATTGTCGCTTGTGGTGCCCTCTAGAACATACAACGAAGTCGTTACTAAATTCGAATTTCTCATCCCAAAAAACCCCCGATACGAAATTTCACGAAATTAGTTCGAAGTAGTAGAAAGATATTAAAGAAAATGTTACTTATTTTTTCAACTTCAATACCATGTATTTCGAAAACTAGCGTTTATGAGCAACATTGTATGTGACTTTTCCCCATTAATTTCCGTCGTAGAATCTAGTGGTAAAGTTTGGCCCATTCTTTAACGGACACCCTGTATTAATAAAACAGTTTGAGTAGTTTATGTGATAAATATGGGTTAATTAGGAAGTCTGTTGTGTAGGTTGTAGTAGATAACTCTTTGACTTTGGGCTGCAACCAACATTACAGCCGTGTATCAGGTTTAAAGTTCATAAAATACGGTCATTCAATGACTGCAATACTGTACTAATCACTCGTATACTTACTCTATGTGATTTGTACGTAGGGAAATCTCCAAGTCCCTAAGAACCTGCGTCGAAGTCGAGTCCACGACCATTTTCCTTTTCTGGAACAAACGATTAGGGTCAATTTAATCCAATAACATTATCATTAAACGATTTATTATGCATATTGTGACGCGAGGAGCGACATAGTCGCACAGGCGTTTGAACGCTGGTATTTATTTATTTGCATGTGATCTGAATGGACTGTATTAAATTAATATATTATGTCGCGTTCAACTGCATCGGCATGAAAGGCGCTGTTATATTCAGAAGTCAATCATCGTTGAGCAAATAAAACAAATGAGGGGAACATCTGGAGATGAGAGAGGGGCCCATAGAATGTTACAAATGGGGTTGCGCGCCGTTACGTCGAGATAATCTGGGAAATAATATGTTCGGAGTAAAAAAATCCAGGGTGATAAATTACGAGCATGTATTTTTGTAATTTTGTACATTTTCCGTAATATTTTCCCAGATGTATTGTGAAAATTTTTAGAATATACAGTGTCCAAAAAATTGTGCGAGTAGAATTGAATATTCTTTTTTCATACAGGAAGAATAATAAATGTGTCCAGAAAGTCACTTTCAAAATTAGAAATGTTTACATTCTGAGATCTGAAACTGAAACAGCGAATTGGTGAGTTTCTCTGTTCACATGGAACGTCATTATTTTTGCACGAATATCAACGAATTTCGAGTTTGCCAAGTCATATGTCAAGAAAATTATTTAGAATAAAACCTCGATCTTTAGTCTTATACTGCAGGTTAATCTAACTTTAAATTCGCCCAAATATCAGTTTCATAATAAAGAAAACACTAAACGATAGAAAAATTGCAACAAGTACTATAACAAAATTTAAAATTGTACTATTTGGAGAGCAAATCTGTTGAATTACTTAAAAAATGAGTTTAACAAATAAATATTTATTTACATAATTATTGAAAAATAAAGCTGTAATTAATTTACAACAGGAAACTGAGAAAATAGAAAAGCTGATACTTCATTAGTTTTCAAAGTAAAAACATACAAAATTAATAAAACATAGACTGCGATATACAAATAACAAATATTAAATTTGAAATGATGTTATTTGATTTATATTTATGCTTGTAATAATAGTTATTTACACCATAAAGGAGGTAAATACTACTTGTATTTACCAGTCGAGCACGATTTTGCGCCCGAGCGGAGCGAGTCCGAGACTGGTAAATTATACTTAACTTATGGTTCATGAAATAAAGATTAGGTTTTATTTTTTGACATTTCTTAATCAATTCATTTTGACATTATTCGAAATCTTGCAAAGTCGCCTTGGCTGTTTGGATTTTGTCGTTTCTAATGTGTTTATAAACAATGCTACATAAAAGTTGCAATTTTGCTGGTTTTGAATTATTATTTCTAAATGAATGATTTTCAAATAGAAAGTGCAGCAAATGCTGCCCTGCGAATTTTTATTGCCCGAGAAGTCGAAAGTGTGCTACGGACGAGCATATAGAGATTGCAAAGAAAATACCCCAAGCTGAGAGCATTTTTGAAATGACGGCCATACACCTAAAAAGTTAAACGTTTTTACAAGAGGACAAATCAACGATTTTCTCGTTCAGGCACCCGATAACACATATTTGCTAATGAAGGTAGTGACAGTTTCAAAAATTTCGATGACATTATTGTAGCTACAATTCCAGATTCTGAAAATGGTATGTCACGTACGTTTACAATTACTTTTCGTCTGGATTCTGTTTCTTAACTAGAAATTCTCAAGAAATGTATCAAGATTATATTGGAAATTATTCATGCTTTTTTTATGCGCTATCAAACAGGTAGACGTTACAACCAACCAGTCAGCAAAAATATCCTTTCTACGATTACTAATAAGATTACACAGTTTTTGAAACTACAACATCCTGAAACATATACAGGTCATTCATTCCGAAGAACATCGATAACGTTACTGGCTAATACAGGAGTTGATGTATTAGCAATCAAGAAACATGGTAGGTGGAAATCAGCCACAAATTTGAAGAAAGTTATGATGCTGGCAGTTTAAGTAACAAAAAATGAAATAGCCAACAGGATTCTTTGAAATGACACTTCAACTACAGGTTCTAGTAGTACGTCGCATCATGCTGTTTTAAAGGATCAGTCAAATAATATTGAGCCTCCGGTGACTGAAATAGAGCGGTCAAATCATTTTGAGAAAAATGTGACAATTAGTAAACGCGAGGGGAATAATTATCCAGATTTTATAAATGTTACTAAATGTGATAACTGTACAAATACTATAAATATTCATTCTTAATAATTAATAAAATGTAATATGCATTATAACTCGAAGTCACTTTTTTCTTCTACTTCTACGGTAAAATCCAATTACCTCCTTAAAAACAATGTATTAGTATATTTACTATAGTGGGAGCAGATAAAATAATTTTCAAAGCAATGATTTGTTAGTCCATTCAACTTCCATCAACCTTACAATTTTGTAATCAATGTTTACAAAAAGAAATACAAATTTTTGTTATATACAAAATATTGTAATCTTTGAATAAACAAATATTATTATTTTCCATTCCCAATTAAAAAAACTGCTTTTATAAAAAAAAAACATGCATTTATGAGTCTTTTACTAAAACAAGTTTGATGACATGATATGCCAATAATGACAGCGACGTAGATACAGCAATAAAAGATCTCTGTGCTACGTGTTTTTAGATTTGAAAGCTTTCAGCATGTTGCCTATTTAAAGATTTACCTAAAATACGGCTTGTTTACTTTTATTTTCACATTTATATTTTATACAGAATTTTCTAAACCTTTTACTTAGAAAACTAGCCCTCGATCTGTTTACTACATTACTAGTAACTTCCCATTAATCAAATTATTTTTAACATCAGAATTACTCTCTGAAAATACCCCTTTCCTCACTTTTATCGAATTCGGTAAGATTACAAAACCATGATGTTGAGTCTGGGCACACGCCAAATGGACTGTGATCGCCAATAACAGGACGAATTTAAATTTCTGCGCTCGATAACTCTCCTGTACCGGATATACGCCTGTCAAATCTATTGAAATCTAATGATGCGTCCGACAATCCATCACAATAAAGTCAAAATTGATTAAGGGTAAACGGAACGAAATATGGAAATGATATTTTTCGTCCATATACAAAACGTTGGGATTTTGGTAAGCAGAAAAATAATTTTGATGTAATAAATATTACTTATCTAAAATTATGCCACAAATAAGTAACTTACTAATCAAACTAATGAAAATAGTGAGATTTGATATAATTTTCATTGCTGTAAACGAAAACCAAATTGAAAAAATAATACATAAAACAATAAACAATTTACAAATGATAATGACATGACAAAGTGAAATTGCAAATTTATTAATCAATCAGTCTAATTTCAACATTTATAAAAATTTTCGAAAAATACTTAAAATTGAATTAGCTGATTACCTTACATTTCTTGTAACACAAGTAATGCTATATATCAATTAGTAAATGGAATAAAAAATTGTCTATAAAATGATCAAAAAGGTATTACTGTATCTTTAGATCTTGCAAAACCTTCGATATTGTGCCTCATATGCAATTCATTGTTGTTCTGGACCATTACAACGTCAGTGGTAACACATTAGAATTATTTAAAAATTATTTGGGCCATAGAAAATGTAAAAATCACAGCACAGCAAGAATTTAGAAGCCAAAATTGGAATTCCTCAGGGAACTGTACAAGGCCCAGTTCTTTTTACCACTTACATAAATTCCTTGCTAAATTTATATATCAACAGTGTTTCAATTTCTTATGGAAGATGATATACAGTTTAATTTTTTTAAGAGACGATTAAAAATAAAAACATATTTGATACATAAACTTTATCTTTTAAAAAATATGTTATGTATTAACAAAATTACCGATTCAGTTATAAATCTTTGGTGGAGTCACTACTTACTACTTACTTTGGAGAAGACTATATGACAATGAGAATGAGTAGAAACCACTGAATGTTGTTCAAAATTAGGTCCTAACAATATTTTTTTTTCAAAAGTTAACTGTATTCGAGTGAAGAAGGATTTTTTGAATGTTAGGTAATTATATTACTTTATAAATTATTGTTAGGTAAATAGATACAAAACCAAACCAAAGGTATTTAATATTTTATCTCTTTCACTAAGAACACATGTTAATTACAACATATTTGTATAAAAAATTCAAAAATTTTATAAAAAAGAATATATACAGGGTGTTTTTGAATGGAGTAGCATAAATGATACCAGTGAATCTACATTTCAAAAGAACACGATCTGCAAAAAATCGCCTTAGTAAAATATTCACCCCTGAAGAGATATGGGCCATCAGTTTCCAAAAAAATTATGAAAATTGGCTGTATTTTGAAAACCGAACGAGGTACAAATAACAAATTTTTTACAGGTTGTTTACTAATACAGATGCGAGTTTTCAACTATTTTTCGAAAATTTTAACCCCTCGAAAGGGGTTGAAATAACCACCCCTCAAGCCATTTTTTTCCATAACTTTTATATTTCGTAAAAACTCGATATCCAAAAATACGCATTAGATAAACTGGTTCTTTTAGAAACTTTTACCTCTCTAGCAATTTTCCTTTAAAACTTTTCAATTATTAATAAAAAATAAAATGTATTACCATTCACCTAACACCGTATATGATTGCAATCAATCAAAGAAAAACTAAGTGTGCTGCTGTCATGCCAGTTGTCACAATTAACTCTTCTGTAAGTTGTCACTGTTATCAGCTAAATACTTTTTGGGTGTAAATTAACAAGAATTATGCCAAATTTTACTAATGATGAATATATTAATAAACGAAAAGTTTTAAAGGAAAATTGCTAGAGGTAAAAGTTTCTAAAAGAAGATTCACTGCTATCATTTATGTTTCTTCATTCAAAAACACCCTGTATATACATAGTATAAGTATACAAGCTTCTGGTTTTCCTTTCTTTATTTTATTTCAAAGATCTGTCGACTCCGTATGATATTTGTTGAGATAGAATTTCAAGAAAACAACCGAAA